ACATAGTAGGCACTGAATATTTGTTCCCCTCCCCTTCCCCCCAGATGGGTTTTTGAAGGTCACTTTCTCAAATCTGTGATTTCATTATTGTGAAAGGTACTTCTCCCAGTGCACATTGCAACCCTACATACATTAATAGAGATTTTTTTATAGTTTTCTGTGGCCAAGAAAAAGTCATTCTTGGCCATGAGCCTCTGTGCACTTAGCAAGGTTAAAGCCCAGAAGCCTTTTCAGCTTGGTACGAACCCCCAAAGCTAGTGCTCCATTACCCTGGCCTTTGACAGCTCAAAATCCCATGCCACAATGAGGTACCAGAACAGGCTTTCAGTAGAAGATGGAAATATTCCTCACTTGATTTATAGTAGCACGAAGGCAGGCAGTGGGTTTGCTACATAGATGTACCCCAGATTTTGCCTAAGATTATGAGGCTTTGCTGGGAGCTTTTTTCTTCCTATTGCTCCAAATACTACCTCTCAGGAGAGGAAGGGCCTGGTAGTGATGACAGCATTAAACAGAGGTAGCAGAATCTGCATAATTTGAAAGAGGAGCCTCCTAAACATCTGTCAGTTGGGTTTGCTTCTGCTGTGCTTTGCCCCACCCCCTCCTTTCTCTTCCCCTCAGTTTTCTCATAATTTCCATTTGAATACTCCCAGTTTTAGTCTCCACAGCAATAAAATTACTCACTGTTCTCATTTCTTTACCCGTTACAGTCTTAAAATTTTTACGATATCACCTTATATTCCGTGTTATATTTGGTTGTTATGGTACCTTCTTCTACCAGAAAATGACCTCCTTGAGAGCAGGCACCTTAGTTTGTCTGTCTTGTCACCCCCTTCTGAGATAAGCGCAGTGCTTTTCTGTGGAAGGCTTTCACTGTCTGCTTCCTTATTCACTTCTTTGAAAGGTATCTCTTTTCTTTTTCAAGTATAAAGCTAACTACTTAATTCTCCTTGAGGAGGTATGACGTTCATCCTTTTCTCATTTTACTACCCATTGGTATTTGTATCAAGATATTTTTTAAAGTTAATTTATTTATTGTTAGTTTTCAACATTCACTTCCACAAGATTTTGAGTTCCAAATTTTCTCCCCGTCGTCCCTCTCCCCACCCCAAGATGGCACACATTCTGAATACCCTTTCCCCTAATCTGCCTTCCCTTCTATCACCAGTCCCCCTTCTCTTATCCCCTTCCCTTTCTATTTTCCTGTAAGGCAGGATAGATTTCTATACACCATTGCCTGTATATCTTATTTCCCAGTTGCATGTGAAAACAATTTTAACGTTTATTTTTAAAACTTTGGGTTCCAAATTTTTCCCTTCCTCCCTCCCCACCCACCCTCATTGAGAAGGCAAACAACTCATGTATCAAGATATTTTTTTGATACGTATGGATAGAATGCTAGGCCTGGAATCAGGAAGATCTGGGTTTACATCTGGTCTCAAATACTCACTGATCCTGATCCTGGGCAGGTAATTTAGCTAGCCTCTTTCTTCCTTAGTTTTCTTATCTATAAAATGGAAGTGATAATAGCACCTACCTCCCAAGGTTGTCATGAAAACAAAATTAGATAATGCTTGTAAAATAGCTGTTGTTGTTATTTGTCTATTCTATATCACTGTCACAGATAATATGATCAGAAATAATTTGAGTGCTCCAAAATATCAGACAAATCTACCCCTTGGAAACTAAAAGAAGTTAAAATATGTTTGGTGATAACTTTAATCAGTTTACCTGTTTAGATCACTCTCTAATTATGAACATTTTTTCTTCCAAGACTGTTCCTGATCCACTAATTCCTCTAAGTAGCATTAGCATATTAAAGGTGAGAGAGATTATCTGGAAAGGTAGAGAAACTGAGGTACAGTGTTTAAAGTTAGCTAAGCTATGAGAGGCAGCAAGAATATTTTCTAGTTTAAGGTGTCCTGCTGACTAATGATCAACATGCATTTATTCTGTACCTACTATGTGCCAGGCACTGTACTAGGTGTTTAGGATATAAAATTAAATTGTAGCCAGTCCTCAACTTTCATAAGGGTAATGTTCCTAGAAAATGGCACTAAAGTCAAAAACACAAATGTTGATACATTGAGCCTATGGGAAATAGGAGTTAGGTTCCTTCAACCACAAAACACTGTAATCTTCCTCTAGAGACTGCTGAAAATACACTTTTCAGCATACAGTTCTTTATAACAAAACAATAATTCTGATAATATGTAGTTTTCCTAACAGAGTAACCATGAAATAACCTGTAAAATGTAGTACACAAAATAAAATTGATAACATGCCAAATATTTTTTCTTGCTAGTAATTCCCTAGCATTCTGTGACCTTTCGTGCTAACATCTCAATAAAAAAAACAAAACAAAACATTGATTTCAGACAATATTGACTTTTCATAACACATTAAATCTATGGTGACATAAATTTTGTTGTTCAGTCATCAGTCACATCCAACTCTTTGTGATCCCATTTGGGGTTTTCTTGGCAAAGATACTGGAGTGGTTTGCCATTTCCTTCTCCAGCTCATTTTACAGATGAAGAAACTGAGGCCAACAGGGTTAAGTCTAAGTGACTTGCCCACGGTCACACAGCTAGTGTCTGAGTTCAGATGTGAAGTCAGGAAGACAATGAGTCTTCCTAACTTCAGGCCCAGCACTCTATCTACTGTGTTACCTAACTGCATGAGTACTATAAATACTGTACATCCAATAAAATTCTTAAAATGAAAACAGTTTTTAGAACCTGAATCTGATATCCCACTGTATCAGATGGAAGTGTGATGGCGTTGTACCGTATAACGAATTGTGGATTTGTTAACACCACACTCCCTACACACATTCAGGCAGGAAGTTTACCTAACACCTTTATTTTCTCACTAAACTGCATCTAAGCTTGGGCTTAGAGACTAAAGGACTTGGATTGTGCTTCAGGGACATAATTTCAACACAAATCTTGAGTTTTGAAGGTAAACAATGAAAATATGCAACAAATGGCCAGGGGAGCTCTCTACTCCACTACATTAGGGTGAACAAGACCAATGTAGCACCTGGTGGGGTACTAGCCCCTTCACAAACTTGGGTGAGACCCGCCTCTAATTGTTTTCCTATACTGTGAATGGCTGTGAATATTCCTGGTTGGCAATGAGAAAGTGAAAATGAGGTTAGTAATAAAATCACTGGAATGCTTGATGTCACAAAAGCTGAACATGTGAATGTTGAGAATTGGCTATCTCTACTCAAGACACTTATATTCTAATGGAGGAGGTATGTAAATTTAGTGTAGGCTCTGGGCCTACCTACTATACCAATCCCCAAAAATACTGTGGGGTCACATCTCCAGAGGGTGGCTGCTGCTTTTTACTTGAAGCTTCTAGGGGTAGCCTTGAGGCATTGGAGATTCTAATACTCTGGCTCACAAGTCCTTATCTGGCATATTCCCTACAATATCATCCAAACAGGCTATATCTCCTCGATATCAATTAAGCAATTAACATAAATTAACTTTTATAAGGGTATATTTATCATGAAGTTATAGCAAGTACAGAAGTACATTCATTATCCCTTGCAAACCAGAGCACTCTACCCACTGTACACTCTTAGGACGTGTGAGGTATCCCAAAAGTCTTAGTGTAGTTTTAAGTTATTAAATTTTAAAATTGCACATCTGTATGTATTTATATATGATGTGTGTATTAAAATGCTATATTTTGAACTGAAGTGCAAATGCTTCAGTGAGTTTGTGATGTTATTAACAAGGGACACCTTCTCAGTGATGCAGATTGCAACCCATCTGTTCCTGCCCATCTTGTGTGACTCTTGTCCATGATCTACTGGAAATAAAAAAAAAAATAATTGCCTTATTCTTAGTGCTCTTTGCCCACTTTTCTATCATCACTGAAGAAGCACAAGGGGGTTGCTCCGGGCCAAGGGTCATTTTGTATTTTTCGTTGTTTCATGGGTTGCCATGGTCAAAGACTTGATCTCCAAGTGTCCAGTCTTCTGGTGATGAGCCTAAACTGGGCTGGTCCTCAGAAAGCAGATGTAGCAGTCTTTGGTGGAGACTGTATCTGATGACTCCATGCCTTCCCAGTATGGTAGCATCTGCCAGAACTTGCATTTCAGTAGTATGTCCTTCAAATAATCAGGGTTACCGTCATACCACAAAGGGGAATCCAAGGAGGATTTGGTGGAGGAAAGTAGTAGATAGAAGTAAAAACTAAAAGACAAATTTTTAATGCCCAGTGGTTTTATTAAAAGTATGCTGTCTCTTTTTGTGGTGGTAAAGAATTGGAAATTGAGAGAATGCCTATCAATTGGGGAATGGCTGAACAAGTTGTGGCATATGAATATAATGGATACTATTGTGCTATAAGAAATGATGAGCAGGAGGATTTCAGAAAAACCTGGAAAGACTTGTATGGTCTGATGCTGAGTGAGGTGAGCAGAACCAGGAGAACATTGTACATAGTATCAGCAACATTGTGTGATGATGAACTATGATAGACTCAGCTCTTCTCAGCAATACAATGATCCAAGACAATTCCAAAGGACTCATGATGGAAAAAGCTATCAATATCTAGAGTAAGAACTATGGTGCCTGAATGCAGATAAAAGCATACATTTTCCCTTTTTTTGTTTTCTTTCTTGTGGTTTTCCCCTTTTTTCTGTTTCTTCTTTCACAATGTGATTAATGTGGAAATATGTTTAACATGATTGTACATGTATAGCCTATATCAGATTGCTTGCCATCTTGGGGAGGGGGAAGAGAGAGGGAGGGAGAAAAATGTGGAACTCAAAATCTTATTAAAAATGAATGTTGCAAACTATCATTACATGTAATTGGAAAAAAATGAAATACTATTTACAAAAAAAAGTGTGCTGTCTGCACACACTAAGTAGAAGTTAAACTTCTGGCACCAAGGGGTATTATTTTTAATAGTTGTTATAGAGTCTGCTAATGGGGTTACATTTCTCTTTATTCTCTCTTTTTCCTTTGTTACAGATTGATGTCCTCAAGGCTGACCTGGAAAGCGCTGAATGGAAAATTCTGGAAAATCTGATTCTGGAAGGTATCCTTGAACAGATTGGGCAGCTAGTGTTTGAGATCCACCTGCACTGGCCTGGCTTTGAAATTGGTGGCAATGACAGCTCTGTAGTACGCTTCTGGTACAGTCTCCTCAAAGAGTTAGAACTGAAGGATTTCAGGCTCTTTCACACTTACAAAGACTTATCCAAACCACAGCTATTCCTAAAGAAAGAACTTTTCAATGCAAGTAGCTGCTATATTCTCAGCTGGGTGAACATGAGATGGAAGTGAGATGTGAAGAGGGTTCATGAGCATAAATGAATTGTTTATGGTAAGATTTGAAGAAAACATTTAGATAATTACTGAAATGTCTAGGACCTAGGAGAGGCAGACACGTGGTATAGAGCAGAGGTGTCAAATACGGCCCACAACACTCACTAGTGCAACCTGAACCAGATTAAAATGTGAGAAATTTTTTACAAGATAAATAAAAAATAAAGTAAAACACAGATAATATGACATTTTAAAAACTAAGTCAATACGCATTCTACAGGGATCCTTATGTGTGGATTAATGGCCCTCATTTGTATTTGAATTTGACACTGCGATGTAGTGGATAAAAAGCTGGAGTTACAGTCAGGAAGATGTGGATTTAAATCATGCCTCTGACCTGTGACCTTAGGTAAGTCACTGTCTCAGAGACTCAGTTGTTTTTTTTAATCTCTGTAATGGGACTAAGAAGACCTACCTCATGGGACTCAAATGTAAAGCACTTTGACTATCTTAAAGTGCCATATAAATGTCATTATAATTACCAAGAAGCAGCATGTAATAATGGTTAGAGAGTTGGTACTGGAGGCAGGAAGACCCAGTTCAAATCCTGCTTCTGTCCCATACTGTCTATTGTAACCCAAGGCAATTTATTTAACCTCTTAGTGCCTAGAAAACTCCCTGAGAATATAAATTGCAGAGAAAGGGATGACTGGTATTTGTAGAGGGAATTTTCTCATTTAGGGGTTCCCTATTTCAATGATAACATAGATCTAGTCACTAACCCTATTATTATTATCATGAGAATAGCCATACCAAGTTGGACCCATGGTTGACAAGCCTTTTGTGTTTGAATGAGAGGCACCATGGGATATGTTGCAGGGGGTCTGAGTTGAATCCAGAGATTTGGGATGTACCCTCCCTAACACTAACATCCTATTTTCCTGGAGTAACTCATTATCCAGATCTATCACTCCAAAGTACCTAAATTCTTTTGAATCTTATTCTATTTTCAGCGTACGCTTTCACACGTTTGTGAAGTTGAAATTCCTTTTCTGGGTTCGAATTTTGCCTCTCTCTACATTCCCCCTGTCCATAATTTTTGCAATATTATGGATTATGTCAGTCTCTTCTCAACCTCTGCAGTGGCTTGTATTGTGATTTTTATCTTCAGTCCTAGAATGGAATATTTCATGAAATAATCCGGGGACTAAATGATCTCCAGGCATTGCACAAGCATTTTATTCTGTGCCTTAAGATGGCGACAGTAACATGCTTAGAATAGTCGGCTCTGACGCAGATTCCTTCTCATACCCTCCTCCTCCTCTCCCTAATCACTGCCATTAAAACAGCTCCAATATGGGCATTGCCCAAAGTACTTGAAATACATAATCTCATTTGAGCCTCACAGCAACCCTGTAAGGTAGGTGTGGTTATTCCCCATTTTACTGCTAAGGACAGTCTCAGAGAAGCTAAGTGACTTACTGTGGGTTACACAGTATTAAGTGTCTGAGGCAAAATTTAGAGCCAGGTATTCTCGACCAATTCCAGTGCTCTATCAAGTATCCCCAACTTCCTGTCATGGAACCCCTTCCACTCCCTTAAAACCAAACACAAAACCTGATTCAGTTGTCAGTCAGTCCATCAACAAGCATTTCCTAAGTGCTTATTTTGTGTTAGTGACTGGGCTAGGCACTATACAGAAAGGAAAATGAAACAGTCCCTGCCCTCAAGGAGTTTATATTCTCTCAGGAGAGAAAATATAAATAGATTAAGTAGATATAAAATAAGAATATGTAAAAAATAATTACTGCCTCTTCCCTTAAAATCAAATGAGAGTTTCCTGTTCAGAGAGCTGCTAACTTCAAAACATGTTTCCTGAAACTCTGCTTGGTGTTTTTTCCTTTATCTTTGTTACCATCAACATCATTTTAATGAGGTCCTATTTTCAGTGTCACACCCTGCCCTCCTTTGCGGGGTGTTAACACAGATTTTATTAACATTAACACTGTGGGATTTTTTTTTTGAGAGAAATCAGTTCCATTAGATGTCAAGGCAGGCTTTTATGGTATAGTAGAAAGGATAGTGGCCCTAAAGGAAAAGGCCCTGGGTTCAGTTCCTACCTCTGATGCTTATTACCTTTGTGATCTTGGGGAAGTGATTTAACTTTTCTGGGCCTCAGTTTCCTGATTGGTAAAACGAAGGAGTTGATCTAGATGGCCTTCAGTGCCTGGCATAGAGTTGGCATTTAATAAATGCTAGTTGATTGCCTATATGAAGTTCCTTCCTCTCCAAATCTATTATCCCTTCTCTGTTTACAAGATTTTTAATTTGCTTTCCCTGCCAATTTTCAAATAACCTATTTTAAGTAAATCTGTTAAGGTGTGTATATGTGTATGTGTGTGTGTATACACGTGTATGTGTATGAATATGTGCCCCATGCTTCACATTTTAACCTTTTAAAAATGCCCTTGAAAAGTACCTTTTATGTTCATGATGAGGATCCCACAAACTGATTTTTTTTTAGTAAATAATTGTATTTTGTGAATTTCTACTTTTTTGTTTATTTGTATTGAATACTATAGCTAAATGGTACAGTGGATACAGTGCCAGGCCTGGAGTCAGGAAGATTCATTTTCCTGAGTTCAAATCTGGTCTCAGACACATTATCTATGTGTCTCTGGGCATCATCTATAAAATGAGCTGGAGAAGGAAATGGCAAAGCACTCTATTATCTTTGCCAAACCCCCCCCCCCCCAAACCCAAATGGGATCACAAGGAATCAGATATGACTGAAAAAGGCTGAACAACAAAATTATGGTTAAAAAAGCATTTAAAAAAATAAGTTACATTTTATGACTTTCAAATTATAAACACATATATAAACTCTGTGGAGAGGGCAGAACCTATGTTCAAGGATTGGGTGTGGAAAGGATGATGGCAGCCACAGTGAAAGAGACAGAAAGTATAGTCAAAAAAGGTAGGAAGAGAACCCTAAGTGGCTTTGGGACCTCAACAACCTGCTTTAATGAATAAATCATAATGGTTTCATTAGCATATCAATTGCTTTCACGTAAATGAATGTTTTTAAAAATGCTCAGGCCTCTTGGGAAACAGTTTCTTCTCAAAAGTAGCTTATCCTGTTAATATGAACTTTCTATGAAGAGAGGGTCTATTAAGTTAAGGTTAAACTTCAAGCCAGTTTCCCTCTTAAAGCTACATTGTTCATTCTGAATGATTAGAACATATGGGCAACTTCAGAATATTGCTGTTACAGCAAATAGAGCACAATACAATAAATATTTATTAAATACCTACTATGTGCTTATGATCTTCAAGGTCACTTGAAGGCTCAAAATTCTGTGATCCTAGGCTACAATGGGAACTTGATTTATTGTTTGGTTAATTGTTTAGACTTAAGAAAAGTAAGGGAGAAAATGTTAATAATGCAGGTTAAACCTAAAAGCGTTATACATACAGCACCCTCAACCCTCCCCCCTCCCCAGAGCTGGTTGTTAAATGTACCAGCATACCCCTGCAAGTTATTTGTAAGCGTGTCCTCCAGTACTTCAACTGATGATTTTATATTTGTGTAATTTCTGATGCTGTTCCAACAAACACCATTCAATATAATAAACATTTATTAAGTACACCTGCTGTGTGCCTATGTACTTTAGGGTCTCTTCTGGCTCTAAATCCTATGATCCTATGGTAAAGACATTTTCAGGACTATATTTTCAGGATAACATTGGGGATTAAACCACCAAAAAGTGCAGAAATTCACAAAAGATCAGATTATAGCACCATGGCAAGCTCTGGGTGAAATGTAAGGTTTAGTCATAGGTTCCCAAAGTGGGCAATACCACCCCCAGAGTGGGGTGCTGCAAGGACCTAGGGGGGATGGTAGCCTTGTGTGCTGTTGTAGGGTGTTGAATAAAAATAAGGGTGCAGTAGAAGCATAAGGAAAGAAGAGAAGAAAATTTTGAAAAACCGTTTGTACATATTTTATCTGTTGTATAACAGTTAAAGTCATAGTGATTACGTTATTTTCCAAATAAACACAAAAAATGCAAATTATAACAGATCAGTGATCAAGTCTACTGACAGGTCTAATAAACAAGTGTTGGCAGGTGAGTGTGTCAAGAAGTCCAGCATACATAGGCAATAATATGTGCATGTAACGACTTGTTTACAAATATGATACTATATGGTTACATGGTGCAATATTGTGTCATCAAAATTTCAATGCAGGAAAAACCCCACAAACTACAATAAATTATTAAATTTAAGATGCATCATTTACAAATATTTTATATGTTTTTTGAAATGATTCAAATTAAAAAAACATTAAAAGGTTAAACAAAGTAGATTTCTAGGGGGGCACTGAGCAATTTTGTTTTTGAAAAGGGGGTGGTAGGCCAAGTAAGTTTGGGAACCTCTGGTTTAGATAAAACATCTTCCCTGTCCTTAAGGAGTTTACAGTCTAGAGTAGGGGAATAAGACACAAACGCTGCTAACTGTCATATACAAGATGACATCATAATAGCATTAATAAAGTATAAAATACGTAAGCTGCAAATGGAAAGTTTCTTACGTAGGAAGGTTTTGTGGAGGAGGCATTGTAGTTATGCTGTAAAGAACGGGTAGGAATTCTATGGGTAAAGAGAGGGAAGACTTTCCAGGCATAGGAATAAACAAAGACATGGAAGCATGAGGATAGAGCATGCTGGGGAGTAGCTTAGTTTTATTGGAGTATAGAGTTTGAAGAGGTAAGTGATATGAGTTAAGTCTGAAAAGGTATGTGTTCCTTCTTCCATGGCCCTAGAGCTGCTACGCTAACTATTTTGGGCTCTGGTGGTCAAGAGTTAGGGAATTGTTTCCCAGGATATTAATATACAGTGGTGGTTGGGATTAGACACCTGCCCTCTTGGAGGCAGCACTGCATTTGTAATTTGTTTTACAGAACTAAAAAGCACTGAAAACATAGCATTCCACAGCTTATTCACAATTCAGAGTTTAAGGGAAAGACTTTGCTTCAACTTTTATTAAGCGTCTACTATATGCAAGGTACTATACTAGGCACTGTTTTTTCTTTTTCTTAACTGGATGGACCTTATATTTCATCAGTGAAGGGAGCTCCTGGTGAAAAACTTCCTTTTCTGATGCAGATCAACACCTACTTTGTTACTTACAGCCAGCCTCCTTTGAAGAAGTGAAGTGATTTGCCTAGGGTCACACAGCCATGTGGATTAGAAACAGGACTTTAACCCTGGCCTTTCCTGACTCTAAACACAGACCTCTAACCATGCTGTTCCAAGGCAGTGGACACCTAGAAAAAAAATAAAACTAATCTTGCCATCGAGGAACTTACATGTACAGAGATAAATAAATACAAGGTTATTTGAAGAGCAAGAAAGCATAAACAACTTGGGTCAGGGGAAATCAGCAAAGGTTTCATGGAACAGTTAATCCTGGAAGGAAAATAAAGATTTTTAAGAGGTAGAGATGAAAGATTGGTTTCTAGGCCTGGGGGATGATTTGCGCAAATACTTAAAGATGGGAGATAGAATGCCATTTTTAGGGAAGTAGGCCAGTTTGGCTGAAATATAGAATGCATAAAAATGAGTAATGTAAGATAAGTCCAGAAAGGTAGATTGGAGCCAGATTGTGAAGGACTTTAAAAGCCAGTTTGAGAAGATAAATCTTGCTTTTAAAATCTTTTAAATTTTTATTGGCAATGTATGGAGGTGGCCATTGTATTACTGGCCCATGAGTATAGAGTAACTTGTCTGAAGCACTTCTCATTCACTTTCGGTCTTGCTGCAGGGGTCAGTGACTAATAGTGACATGGAAATATAAAACAGTGGAATGAATTCTTCTCACTCAAATAACAGATTAAGCTTAAGTGGCAGTTAAGGTGCTACACACACATCTGAAAGCTTCCATCTAGCTGACTGTGAATTGGGGGTTTAAATCACAAGATTGAGATAGCCCTTGAGGCTATGTTGAAACCCTTCCATCATGGATTTGAGTTGAAAGGGACCTCAGAGGCCACCTAATACTGCCTTCTGATTTTACAAATGAAGAAAAAAAAGGCCCTGGAAGGTTAAATGGCACACCAAAAGCCACATAGTATGGGCATTACCACAGAATACAGTAGATGGAAGTAGAGGAGACCTCAACCATGAAGATGGCAGTGTTGGAGAGAATATGCTAATAGACAGGACAGCCTTGGGCCTCATAGGATCACCTGACATCAATAAAGCAGCAAGTGATTGATAGAGGTAGGTTTTAGCTGGTATGTAACTCTGAAAGTATGTTATTGGGCTTTGTATGTTTCCTATCCCAAGCATCTGTCCTCTCCACAGGAGTTCCCTTTTCCATCAATGGTATGGGAATGCATGGGACTGTACCCTGGTGTGTATGGAAGGAAAATTTTCCTGTCGTTTATTTTGCTATATGTTAAGTGAAATGTTCCTTGCTTTTAACTATTGTCTTCTGGTTGGTCAGATAAAAGAGGCATCCATTGGGGTTTTTGACATGGTTTCAAGTAGAAACTTACTCCAAATATCTTGAACCTGGGGTAGATTGTTAGGGGAAGGGGTTTGTGTGTGAAGGGAGCTATAGTAAGTATGTTGACTTCTTCCAGTTGCCATGGATAAGGTGTTCAAGAATTATTTGACTTTTTTTCACATAAAGAAAATTGAGAAGGAAACAGAATTTTGTCTCAATTTTGTGTTATCATTTTTGCTAATGACTCTATGTCATTTAATATCCTCAACCAGGAAAAAATATTACATAAGCAAAAGTTTATGATCTAATCACAGTTCCTAGTAAGTGAAAACCATGAACTTTATGCAAGTGCTATAATTTGAATTTCTCATATATTGTTTTACATCATAAATCCAGGATCATCAAATATTTTCACATGGTAATATCTCTAATCAAGGTAGAATTCTTTAATTAAAATTTATTATTCTGGAATAAAAGTACACTCAGAAGCACAATCAATGCTAATGCTCTTCCATGCTGTGATTGTTAGCTGGCTTTTGTACTGAACTCTACACAATGCTTATGGTATTGGTTTCTGTCCAAATAAGTGAAACTGGCTCATCATGAGAATTTTTGGTCGACCAGAAAGCTGCTTGTAGTCCTTTGTGACTGATTAAAGCAGATCCAAGATAAATTTTTTATTCTTGTTATAATCTCCTTCCGCATCTCTTCTGACTTCCCATGGAGATTGTCTTTTGACAGATGTGATCCACACAAGAAGATTTTACTCAATTCTCCCCTCCCCCCATACATATATTCTTCATTGTGGACCAATATGCTGATGCATTTTAGCAGCACTGTGGAGCTAAATGGTTCTTCTAGACCCCTGAATATGTCCTGACACCTTGCCTCTTTACTGCTCACCTGAGAAGTAGAATGCTCTGGAAAAAATCATAGAATCATAGATTTAGAGTTGGAAGGGGCCTTAAAAGCCTTCTAGTCCAACATTTGACAGGGAACATATGGCTCACAGAGCTTAAATGAAATACTTAGGGTTATGATCACCTAGTCAAATCTCATTTTAAGGCAGCTGAACCCTAGAAAAGTTTAAGTGACTTATCTAAGATCACAAATAAGTAGGAAAGCCTGGATTCACATCTTCAAAGTCTTCTATGCTCTTTCCACTACATCAGGCTACCTCAACTGGACTTTCTCTGCTACACAGCAAACCATTTTGCCCACCCCCCCATTCTAAATCATCCACACTCCTCATTATGCCAATTTCATCTAGCTTTTTACAAGCTCCCAACTCTACCCACTCCCTATCTTTCCCTGAACAGATGACCCCAGCCTCTGATTTCCTGAGAATATCTTTAAGCCAATCTGTCAACTTCCTCAAGGTTCTCTATTCTTTTCAAACTTCTTTCCTCCAGTTTCAGAGAGAGAAGGGACCTTCACTGAGAAGATATCCTCTTTATCTGTGCTCTTGATTTCATCCCCTCTATCATTTATCCTTTTCCACCCTCCCCTCACATATCCTAAATCTGTCTTTTCACTACCAGTTCCTCCTCCTTGTCCTAGATGTTAAGGACACACATGAGGAGAAAAAACAAACAAAAATGAAAAAAGCTTATTTTAATTATGTCTTCTTTTTCAATGAGCTATTGTCCTATCTCTTACCTTTTAGAAAGGGTATAAACTTGTTCTTCTACTTCTTTACCTCCTCAATCTCTTGCAATTTGATTTTTCCCCATACCATTTGTCCTCAAACTATGCTATGTTAGTCATAACTTAGTTGACCAGTATGGTATAACGGAAACAGCATTGGGGCCCAGGGGTCGTGGATCCAAAATGACTGACTCATACTACCTATGTGATCATGGCCAACTCTTAGCCTCCCTGGGTCTGTTTCCTCCCTTATAAAATGAGGGAGGAAGCAAGATGGCAGAGTGAAAGCAGGGACTTGCTTGAGCTCTCCCCCAAATCTCTTCAAATAACTAAAAAAAGACTGAACAAATTCTAGAGTGGAGGAACCCACAAAGAGACAGAGTGGGGCAGATTTCCAGCCCAAGACAACCAGGGAGATCAACAGGAAAGGTCTATTGTACCGGCCTGAGACAGGAACATCCAGTGCACAGGGCACAGTGGCAGGACTGGCCTAAGCAAAGCTGGAGCAGGCTTTGGGGGACTGAATCACCAGAAGCAGTGGAGAATTTCAGTCTTCTCAGCCCTCAGACACCAGACAACTTAAAAGGTCAGCGGGTGGGGTCCGTCGGAACTGAGAGAGAAGTGCAGTCCACCACAGGGCTGCAGGGTGTGCCAATACGGTCCCTGCACGAGCAAACAAGGAAGAGGCCTTGGGAGTGACTGAATCAGCTGCAGTAGTGGTGCAGCAGCGGCAGTGATGCTCCTGGAACTATTAGCTGACAGACTGAATGTTTGAAAGTCACCTATTCTGACTTCTGGGAGCCAAGATAGTGGAGTAAACAGTAAGTTGCTCTCACCCTCCCTTATTGACAGTGAAAAACCAAGAGAATATTGCCCTAGGAAAAATCCTGAAATAGTAGCGTCAGCAGAAAGACTACATATAGCAGTCTTTTAGCTTGTGAGGCTAGGGGGATTAATGGGAAAGGTCCCTCTTACAATGGCTGAAGGAGACCAGTACAGGAAGGGAGGTGTCCCAGCAAGCCAGTGGCAAGCCCCACCACAGCAAACCAGTAAGCAGGCCCCTAGCCCCCAGCACAAGAAGCCTGGGACAGTGGCCCCTGTGTCCTAGAAGCAGAGATCAACTTTAAAAGCCAGAAAAAAGCAAACAATATGAGCAAGAAGCAACATAGAAAAACAATGACCATAGAAAAGTATCTTGGTGACAGGGAAGATCAGAACACAAATTCAGGAGAGGATAACATTGTCAATATGCCCACATCTGAAACCTCAGAGGGGAATATGAACTGGTCTCAAGATCAAAAAACCTTCTTGGAAGAGCTCAAGAAGAATTTTATTTTATTCATTTATTTATTTGTTTGTTTGTTTATTGGTAGGCAATGGGGTTAAGTAACTTGCCCAGGGTCACACAGCCAGTAAGTGTGAAGTCTCTAAGGCCACATTTGAACTCAGGTCTTTCTGACTCCAGGGCCAGTACTTTATCCACTGCGCCACCTAGATGCCCCTCAAGAAGGATTTTAATAGTCAAATAAGGGAGGTAGAAGAAAAACTGAACAATTAATTTAAAAATACAGTTGACAAAATGGAAAAAAGTACACTGAAGAAAACAACTCCTTAAAAAGTAGAATTGGCCAAATGGAAAAGGAGGCACAAAAGCTAACTGAAGAAAACAATTCATTAAAAATTAGAATTGGGCAATTGGAAACTAAAGACTCTATGAGACATCAAGAATCAGTCAAAACAAATCAAAAGAATGAAAAAATAGAAGAAAATGTAAAATTCCTCATCGGAAAAACAACTGACCTGGAAAATAGATACAGGAGAAATAACTTAAGAATTATTGGTCTATCTGAAAGCCATGATGAAAAAAAGAGCCTGGACAGCATCTTATAGGAAAATTGCCCTGAGGTCCTAGAACCAGAGGGTAAAATAGTCATAGAAAGAATATACCAATCACCTGCCAAAAGAGATCCCAAATTGAAAATGCCTAGGAATATTGTAGCCAAATTCCAGAATTATCAGGTCAAGGAGAAAATCCTGTAAGCAGCCAGGAAGAAACAATTCAAGTATCGTGGAACTACAGTCAGGATCACACAGGACCTTGCAGCTTCTATATTAAAAGATCAGAAGGCTTGGAATGTGATATTCTGTACGGCAAAGGAGCTTGGATTACAGCCAAGGATCAATTATCCAGCAAAACTGAGCATAATCTTTCAGGGGAAGAGATGGACAGTCAATGAAATCGGGGAATTCCAGACTTTCCTGATGAAAAGACCAGAGTTCAATGGAAAATTTTATCTTCAAATACAATACTTGAGAGAGGCATAAGAAGGTAAACAGGAAAGGGGGGGGGAACATGTTATTCAGTAAGGGTAAGTTGTTTATATCCCCACATGGAAAGGTGATACTTATAACTCTTGAGAACTGTATCTTTATTAATCAAGTCCTCTATTTCAGTGGTGTCAAACTCAGAAACAGAGGCCCACTAAAACATACATAGGTACCTCATTTCACTGCATAATCATTGCCACTGCTTAATTGTCACACCCTGTTTTTTCAATCCAAAAACTGGTTTATAATCTTTCATTATATTATTATCACATGGTATAATTCTGTTCGTCATGCTGTCTAAAAGGTAAACAGAGCACAATGTATTAACCAGTGGCATATGAATATGCATTTATCTTTCATGCATTGCAAGCCAGGAGCCTAGAATTCTCAGTGCATGCGCATTGTCAGTATATTTCTGAAAGCTGACTTGCGTGGTTTGTTTAGAGTGCTGCAGTACTAATGGTATTGTCACTCAACCCAATGAAGAGCCATAGGTGCAAGGGGAGTGGATGGGCAGGTGAAGCTGCCACGAGTAAGTCATGTGACATGATAATATTTGCATCTTCCCAATTTTAACATATATTCACAAGTGTTCTGTGCACCCTAATCTTGCAACAGACAGTTTAGTAATAAATGATTTTTAAGTAATACCAGCACAATTTTAAAAGCTTCACATAATAGTTACACCCTATTTTTTTTTGCAAAAAAAAATTTCGGCATAAAATTTCTGATGATTATGCAGTGAAATATGATATTCCAGTGGGTGGCATATTGACTTAGAAAAACACATTTTTGAGGGGGTGATGTTTGTTTCCTTTTTCTTAACATTTAACTTTATTTTTTTTGAGAAAAATAATCATTCATTTTTGAAAGTTGAATTCCAAATTCTCCCCCTTCCTCCCCACTCTCAATACTCTAGAGAAGGCAAGCAATTTGATATAGATTATACATATGCAGTCATGCAAAACATTTTTATCTTAGCCATGTTGCAAAAGAAAATACAGGCCAAAAAAACCCCAAAAAAGGAAGTAAAAAAAGTATGCTTTAATCTACATTCAGACTCTATCACTTCTTTCTCCGGAGGTGGATGGCATTTTTCATCATAAATCCTTTGGAATTGTCTTGGATGATTGCATTCATCAGAATAACTAAGTCATTCACAGTTGATCATTGTAAAATACTGCTGTTTACTATGCACAATGTTCTTCTGGCTCTGCTCACTTCACATCAATTCACATAAATCTTACCAGGTTTTTCTGAAACTATCCTGCTCATCATTTCTTATAGCACAATAGTATTCTATCACAATCAGATACTACAACTTATTCAGTCATTCTCCAATTGATGAGCATCCCTTTAATTTCCAATTCTTGGCCATAAAAAGAGTTGCTATAAATATTTTTGCACATAAAGGTCCCTTTTCCTTTTATCTCTTTGTGGGTGCCAATCTAGTAGTGTTGCTGGGTCAAAAGGTATGTAGTTTTGTAGCCCTTTGGACATAGTTCAAAATTGCTTCCCCAAATGGTTGGATCAATTCACAGTCCCATTAGTGTCTCTATTTTCCTTTTCTGTCATATTAGCCAACATAATGGGTGTGACGTGGTACCTCAGAGTTATTTTAATTTGCATTTCTTTAGTCACTAGTGATTTAGAGTATTTTTTTTCATGATTTCTTCATCTAAAAACTCTGTTTATATCCTTTGACCACTTATCAGTGGGGAATGACATATTCTTGTAAATTTGACTCAATTCTCTATATATTTGAGAAATGAAGCCTTAGAGAAATTTGCTGTCAATTTTTTTTCCATTTCCTGCTTTCCTTTGAACCTTGGCTGCATTGGTTTTATATGTGCAAACTCTTTCTAATTTGATTTAACTAAAATTATCCATTTAACATCTGTTATACTCTTTCTCTTGTTTGGTGATGAATTCTTGCCTTTTCCATAAACCTGAGAGGTAAAATATTCCATGCTCCCCTAATTTGTTTATATCACTCTTCAGGTCTAAATCATGTACCCATTTTGCCCATATCTCAGTACAGTGTGAGATGTTGGTTCTATTGTATTTTTATTATTTTGTTAAACATTTCCTAATTATATATATTTTTGCATTTTTATTAGTAAGCAGCACTTTTATTTTTTTCCAATTACATGTAAAGATAGTTTTCAACATTCGTTTTTTTATAAGATTTTGAGTCCAAATTTTTCTCCCTCCCTCCCATAACCCCTCCCCAAGATGGCAAGCAATCTAATATAGGTTATACATGTGCAATCATGACAAACATTTCCACATTAGTCATGTTGTGAAAGAAGAAACAGAACAAAAGGGAAAAGCTACGAAAAACAAAAAGTGAAAATAGTATGCTTTGATCTGCATTCAGATGCCATAGTTCTTTCTCTGGATGTGAATAGCTTTTTCCATCATGAGTCTTTTGGAATTGTCTGGGATTGTTGTATTGGAGAGAAGAGCAAAGTCTATCATAGTTGATCATTGTACAATGCTGCAACTGTACAATGTTCTCCTGGTTCTGTTCTTTGCTCAGCATCAGTTCATGTAAGTCTTTCCAGGTTTTTCTGAAGTCCGCCTGCTCATCATTTCTTATAGTACAATAGTATTCCATTACATTCATATACCACAACTTGTTCAGCCATTCCCATTGATGGGCATCCCCTCAATTTCTAATTCTTTGCTACCACAAAAAGAGTTGCTATAAATATTTCTGTATATGTGGGTCCTTTTCCCATTTTTATGATCTCTTTGGGATACAGACCTAGAAGTGGTATTGCTGGGTCAAAGGGTATGCACAATTTTATAGCCCTTTGGGAATAGTTCCAAATTGTTCTCCAGAATGTCTGGATCACTTCACAACTCCACCAACAATGCATTAGTGTTCCAATTTTTCCACATCTTCTCCAACATTTATAATTTTCCTGTTTTGCCATACCAGCCAATCTGATAGGTGTCAAATGGTACCTCAGAGTTGTTTTAATTTGCAATTTCTCTAATCAACAGTAATTTAGAGCATTTTTCCATGACTATAGTTTTAACTTCTTCATCTAAAAACTGTTCATATTCTTTGATCATTTATCAATTGGGGAATGACTTGTGTTCTTATTAAATTGACTCAGTTGTCTATATATTTGAGCAACGAGGCCTTTTATCAGAAACACTGGCAGTAAAATTGTTTCCCAGTTTTCTGCTTTCCTTCTAGTTTTGGTTGCATTTGTCTTCTTTATGTAAAACCTTTTTAGTATTATCAAAATTATCTATTTTTGGATAATCCAATTATCTCATAATGCTGTCTTGTTTCATCATAAATTCTTCCCTTCTCCAAGGATCTGAAAGATAGACTATTCATTGCTCTCCTAATTTGTTTATAGTATCACCCTTTATGTTTAAATCATGTACTCATGTTTGACCTTATCTTGGTATATGGCATAAGATGTTGGTCTATACCTAGTTTCTGCCATAGTTTTCCAATTTTCCTTTCAGTTTTTGTCAAATGGTGATTTCTTATCTCAAAAGCTGGGGTCTTTGGGCTTCTCAAACACTAGATTACTATGGACATTTAATACAGTGTATTGTGTACCTAATCTATTCCACTGACCCACCACTCTATTTCCTAGCTAGTACCAGATTGCTTTTGATGATTACTGCTTTATAAGGCAGTTTGAGATCTTGTATGGCTAGGCCACTTTCCTTCACTTTTTTCCCCATTAAATTCCCTTGATATTTTTGGCCTTTTGTTATACGAGATTGTCATTTTTTCTAGCTCTATAAAATAATTTTTTGGCAGTTTGGCATGGCACCAAATAAGTAAATTAATTTAGGCAGAATTGTGATTTTTATTGTATTGGCTCAGCCTACCCAGCAATTAATATTTTTCTAATTGTTTAGATCTGACTTTGAGTGACAAGTGTTTTGTTAATTGTGTTCATATAGTTCCTGGGTTTGTCCTGGCAGGTAGACTCCTAAGTATTTCATGTTGTCTACAGTTATTTTAAATGGAATTTCTCTTTCTACCTCTTGTTGCTGAACTTTGTTGGCAATATGCACATGCTGACCATTTATGTGGGTTTATTTTATATCCTGCAACTTTGCTAAAGTTATTTCAACTAGTTTTTTAGTTGCTTTTCTAAGTATCATCATGTCACCTGCAAAGAATGATAGTTTTGTTTCCTCACTGCCTATTCTAATTCCTTCAATTTCTTTTTCTTTTCTTATTGTTATAGCTAGCATTTCTAGTACAACATTGAATAATAGTGGCTATAATGGGAATCCTTGTTTCATTCCTGATCTTATTGGAGAGGCTTCTAGCTCATTCTCTTTTTTTTTTTTCTTTTGGCTAGGCAATGGGGTTAAGTGACTTGCCCAGGGTCACACAGCTCATGTGTTATATGTCTGAGGCCGGATTTGAACTCAGGTCCGCCTGAATCCAGGGCCGGTGCTCTATCCACTGTGCCATCTAGCTGCCCCGTAGCTCATTCTCATTACAGATAATGCTTGCTGGTGGTTTTATATGGATATTACCTGTCATTTTAAAGAAAGTTCTATTTATTCCTATGCTCTGTAGTGTTTTAATAGGAATGGGTGTTGTATTTTGTCAAAATCTTTCTGCATCTAGTGAGATAACCATGATTTGTTGCTTTTGTTATTGATGTGGTCAATTATGTTGATAGCTTTCCTAATTTTTAACCAGCTCTGAACCGTTGGTATAAATCCCACCTCTTCATGGTGTCTTCATTATCTTTTAATCTGCTTCAGGCTGTATGTTTGACATTCTGCCCTACTTCATGAAAGGTCCATTTTCCCCTTGCAGGACTATATTGTTTTGTTGGGTAAAAAATTTTCACTCCTTCAGAGTGGTGAAAGTTAAATTGTATGTGACCTTGACTATATCTCCTTGGTACCTGAATTCTTTCTTGTTGCTTGAAAACATCTGGAAGCTCTGGGTTTTAGTTAGATTCCTGGAAGTTTTCATTTTGGGTTTCTTTCAGGTGACCAGTGGATTCTCTGTAAGTCTAGTTTATCCTCTGGTCTTCAGAGATTTGGGCAGTTTTAAGATTCTTGAAAGATAGTCTAGTGTTTCTTAAATTTCTTCTCCTGTTTTCTAGGTCAGTTGTTTTTGCTATGAGAAAATTTAAATCTTCTATTTTAGTCTTTTGACATTGTTTTCTTTTGTTACATTCCTTATTGTCTTACTGAGTCACTGGTTTCTGTTCTATTCCACTTCTTAGGAAGTTTGTTCCTTAAGCAAGGTTTTGCACATCTTGTGCCAACTTAATTCCTTTCCAATTATTTCTTCCATAGCTCTTATTTATTTTCTATTTTTCCCCCTCTAGCACTCTCATTTCATTGATAAAAACACTTTAAATCTTTTACTTCATCTCTTTCAGAAACTGTAGCTGAATTTGTGCTTCAGTTATACTTTTCTTCAGTGCTTTGCTTGTAGATGTTTTGGAATCATTTTCATCTTGTCTTCAGAATCCCTGGTCAAATGAGGTGATATTTGTAAAGCACTTAGCAAAGTGCCTGGTGCATGCACAGTATGTATTTAATAATGCTTTTTCCCTTCTCCCACCCTCATCATCACAACAGCCTCTCATGGTGGTTTTCCCCTTCTCATTCTTCCATCCTACTTCTACCTTTAAACTTGATGTTAGGGCCAGGCTCTGCAAACTGCTAGAGGGAAGGTCTGAGCTGGTCCTGTTGCTGCTTTCTTGCGGTATCACATGTTGTGTTATTCAAAGATCTCAGGGACAGGTCAGGTTGCCCTGCAAGAATCCAGCACTCCCAAAATGATGTGACCCAAGCATAGTCTTATCACTGCCCATGATCTCAGCTGACCTGGGTTTGGGTCTGAAGAACAGTAGATGCTTCTGATTCAACCACTCTCAGCCAGCTGGAAAGCTCTGGTTCTGAGGCTTCCTGCCTTGGTTAGTATTCTTCTGAAGGTTTCAAATTGAGGTAGAAATTGGAACTGAGAATCACCTCTGCTCCTGGGGTCAGAGTCACATGTCTGCTGTTTGTTTCTGCAGCAATTCCCTACCCCTGACTCAGGGCACAGGTTCTCACCTGCAGTCCACCCTGGATCTATAACCCCTAACAAGGTAGTGAACAACAAAGCTGCCAAGTTGGCACCTGTTCTTTCACCTTGTGGTGCCCTAGTATGGGTTTGGGACCTCCTCTTGTCCTGGTACACAGCTTCTCTCTGGGCAGCAGAGTGCTGTCCTTGGGGCCCTCCTAGCTAGACCTTGTCCCTAGGGCCGACAGACTTCTATCTCTCTTTGCAGACTTGGGTTGGTAAAATGACTGTGACTTTTTCTTGGATTTCCCATCAGAATTTAGTCTGGTGCATCTTCTAGATTTGTTTGGAGGAGAGCTATATTGCTTCCTGCTACTCTGAACACTATGCTTTGATGGTACTCTTGTAAATATTTTGGCTATGATGAATTTTATAGTTTTCTGTAATTTTCACTTTTATCAGTAGCCAGTGAAATAATGAGTTTTGGAATAATGGGAAGAAGGGCAGGCTGACAAGACCATCCTTATCCCTTTCCCCAAGAAGAGATGTAATTTTTAGGTATGTATGGGGTATATTATACAAAGACAATGTGGTATGCTGGAAAGTCTTTTGACTTATGTTTGAGGATTGGCTTACTATAATCTTATAGTCAAATGTCTACATAAGATGTTTGAATTCTTTACACATTAGTTAAAAGAAGAATTATAATGCTTGCATTATTTACCTCATAAGCCTGCTGTGGGCAAGGCACTATAATAATATATTATAATATGTGATATACTAAACAGGAATTAATTCTTGGGTCTAGAAATCGGAGTACTTATTTCCTAAGGTTTGGATTTTAAAAGGATCATTCATTACTTCTTTTTAAATTTTTTCCAGTTAGTAGAATCTTTTAAATTTCAGGGTATATTTTAAGACAGTTCAAATTCTTACTTTGGGTAATTTATATTTTGTCATTCCCCTTCTTGGCCTAGCAAGGATTACATCAGCACCATTCTCTCCATCCCTCTTTCCCTGCTTTGCATTAAAAGATAATTTTGTACTGGGTCTCTGATTACCTTTACAAATTAAAAACTTGAAGGGTGTTGAACTAACCACAGGGGCTCAAATTTCACCCTCTCATCTTCTAATTATAATAAAACAACACTTATTGTAGTAGCAGAAGCATAAGATCACAATTTAGAACAACTCAAATATGCCTGTCATAGTAAGGGAGCTTTCTCAGCTTTTAGAATGTGATGACTTGTCATGGCCTTTGTAGAATTCAGTGGGTAAATTTCATTTTTCTAGCACATTCCTGTATTATTTTTGATGTTGAGCTAGCCAATTAATATAACCAAACACATTCCTTTTCAAGCATCAGTTTCTTGGCAAAATAAAATAACTATTTAAAATATTGCCCACAGTGTGGTTTCACACCACAGCTGGGATTAAAGTTCAGTCTTGTTCAACTGAAAGGAAAATAAAGATAAATACAACACTATGGTAATTTTTCTGTAAAAAGATATATTTAAAAATAGGCTCTTTAAAAAGAGAACTTTTATGTACAGTTATTTAGTCTAGAAACAGTCAAAAAACACTATACAACAACTATCTAGGTTTTAGAAAATACAATTTGTAGCACACACAATCCTGGTACTGAACAAGATGTAGTTTTAAGCCTATGATTAATTCATTGTCTCATCACAAATCAATAATTCACATTTGTTAATAGCTAACATTCAGACTAAAGTTCAGGTTAAGAACTTGCCTGCATACTTCCCATTTGGGAAATTAGACAACCACCTCTGCCTGGCAGATGTAGTCTATCTGTAGTTCAGATAGTCTTTATTTCTTTGAGTGAGCAATACCCAACAAAGAACCTTCTCCTCTTTTTGCTATTTTTTCTTTTCTTCTCTTCTAAGTTTTGCTTTCAGCATAAGGGAAACAAAAACATCTTTATATGTGGTTGTTGGCCCAGAGGTACCACATTCTTTAAAAATAAAATTTCTGTGAGGGCAAAGTCACACATTTCTACAAGTTGTGTAATGACAGTGTATCTGTGCTTAACAATAAATGTTCTAGGAATAGGTTACTGAGCGCTTAATGCATTCAGGGTTGTTAGCACTTAGCTGTCCCTTGGCTTTCAGCTCAGCATCCTAGGTAGCCATCCACCTGATTAGGCAGTCTCCCTAGTCTTTTCCAACATGATGCCTTCTCTATCTATAACAGTTAACAACAAAACACTTTTGAAACATCAAAACATAGGTTCCTAGAAAATAATAAAAGGAGATGGCTTGTCAAAATTAAAGTGCTATAAGCTAGTCCCATCAAAAGACTGTCATAAGTTCTCAGATGACTTACTTGTATTAATCAGGAGTTACGTTCCTGAAAGAATAATTGCATATTTTATGTACTTCATGACACAATAATGCAGACCCAATTCACCCTCCACATGAGTTACTGTTCAGAAATAATTTAATTTTATGATTAAAGGGCACTGATCTGCCTGCATTGGGAAGGTCAAGGAGAAGGACTTGGGTCTATTCTTTATTTCATAACTGTCCATATTAATTAAGCTGTAGCCAAAGGAAATTGATGACTTGCAACTGAAGAGATACAAAAAAAAGAGGAACCCATGGAGAAACAATAGAGCTCACAAGGTATGACTTATTGGAACTGGGTAGGAAGAAGAAAAGAAAAGCTGTTCCTCTAACAGCTTGTTCTTCCTCTAGATTTATGTACAATGAAATCATCAATGAGATCCTTATTTTCTGCTCTGTTGGAGACCTATGTGTTTGTTCCCTTAGAATTAAATGTTCATTTATTACTTCAACTGTTAGGAATCACAAAATACAACGGGTAGATTCCATGAACAGTAATGAGATAGCAATAAAATATATGGATCAAAAAGTTTTCAAGATTTATAACTGGTAGTAAGCCTTGGTAATTGGAAAGAAAGGGATGTCAATAGGCATTACTTATTTTGGTGACACCTATAAAGACTAGAATGAAATTATATAAATCAAAATTACAAAACAAATTGTATATTTGTACTGAGACAGAATTCTGTGTAAAGAGCACATATCTGCAAAAGATAAACTGTCACCCAACACATTTAATAATCAAATCCAGTTAAATATGTTATCAAATCCAAAAGATCCTAGTGAAGTTTGGGGGTTAATCCCATAATTTAATAAGACCATCCCAGCCACAAGTTATAACCTTAGATGTTTCATGTGGGTGCCACACAGCACCTATGCATACTTTATCATGAGCTTTAAATCGACTGTAGAGTTTTGTAGTCTTCCAGTCCCAAATGTTTAATTTTCCATTTCCATCTCCTGATATCACATAGCTGCATTGGGGAGGAAAACAAGTTCACATTATTCAAATGTTTTAAATTTGAGATAAATGGGGAAGTTGTTTCTTCCAACTTTCTCATCTTAACACTAAACCCCACACCTCAGTACTTCTATTACATAAAAATCTACTGAAAGGGATAGACTATTGGTTTCAACAATGCAAACTGTTTCAAAGAAAGTGCATTCCAAGGAAATCAGATTGTAACATGAACACTGCTCTTAAGCTGCTGCTTTTTTTCAGGCTGGAATAGTTTATTTCAGCAATTCTAGGGCTATTTTTAACCTGGGTAAAGGGAGGGTAAGAAGTATAAATTAGCAGGATTGGGTGAAGTCCAAGGGAGCAGAGGAGGGCCCCACAAGTGGGGCCACTAGTCCCCCAGGCCTCTCAGCTGTGAGCATTATGTGTGCCCTATTCTTTCACCTTTAGGCATAATACAACCTGATTCCATACCAAGAATCATCCCTTTTGTTTCCTTCATGATTATTTTTGGTTTCAAAGTCATTGAGCCAGGACTAAGTTTGTCTGGTAGTGTAAGGTCCAATAGTCAGACTCAAGTTAGCCAGTGCATAGATCTTGGCATCTTCCATATGCATATATTCAAATTTAAGCCAAGAATGAAGCTATAGAATTTTGTGGTCATTTTCAGAAGCACATCAGGCTACAGCTGCCCCTGCTGGAAGGAGAGGTCTTCACCAGCCTTGTGGCAGCTATTCATGGAAGCAGAGTAGGATGGGGGCCTCCATATGCTGTGCATGCATAACTGTACTTTCTTTTCAATAAACTGATAAATTGGCACAGGAAAAAAAAAAGCTTTGATTCTGGGGGAACTGGTCTAGGCTTTGTCTGATGTCCTTAGGAAAGATACTTCCCTATTCTGGAATTCAAGCTTTCCCATCTAGAAAATGAGAGGGTTGAACTAGATGATTTCTATAGTAACAGCATCTAGAATGAGACAGGTTCTACTTCTACTGTCCTCTGCCCCAGTTAGAACATAACTGGAGTACTATGTTCATTTCTGGGACTACATGTAAGGAATAACCCTGACATGTCCAAATGAGGGAAACATAACAGTAAGGTAAACAGAAACCATGTTACAGGAGAATTAGATGAAAGGACTGGAGACAGGGCCCACCCCTGGGGCAGACCAGCAATAAGATCTCTCCTCCAGGGCTGGCCACCACAAAGACTCTTACCATAGCAGGCCAGTGGCTAAACCCTATGCCCAGGGCAGGATAAGAGGGAGGCCCCACGCCCCAGTACAAGCCAGAAGGGAACCCTACCTTCCAGAGAAAAGCGAGCAGTTAAGCCCTGAAGCCCAGTGAAAGCCAGCAGTAAGACCCAGAGCCCTCAGCACAAAATGCTTGGGGCAGCGCAGGACAACTCTCATGTAAAAACAGCAAATCACAAACACACAAAAAGGCAGAAAAAATGAGCAAAAATACCAAAACAAAACAAAAAAAAGAGCTCGACTACAGAAAGTTATATGGTGATAGTAAGGATCAAGGCATAAACTCAGAAGAGGACAATAGTGTCAAAATGGCTACATGTGAAGCCTCAAAGAAAAATGTAATTTGGTCTCAAGCCCAAAAAGAATTCCCAGAAAAAGCTGGGAAAAGAAATGAAAGTAATGCAAGAGAATCATGAAAAAAGAATCAATAGCATGGGAAAAGATAAACCAAAATCTATTGAGGAAAATAACTCCCTAAAAAATACAGTTGGCCAAAATCTCACTGAAGAAAATAATTCCTTAAAAATTAGAATTGAATAAGTGGAAACTAATGACTCTGTGAGACATCAAGATATGATCAAATAAATGTAAAAAAACAAAAAACAAAGCAAGAAAATGTGAAATTTCTCACTAGAAAACAACTGACCTAGAAAATAGATCCAGGAGAGATAATACAAGAATTATTGGCCTACTCAAAAGCCATGATTAAAAAAAAAAAAAGCCCAGACATCTTTCAAGAAATCATCAAAGAGGGGCAGCTAGGTGGCACAGCGGATAGAGCACTGGCCCTGAAGTCAGGAGGATCTGAGTTCAAATCTGGCCTCAGACCAAACACCTGACACACTTAACTAGCTGTGTGACCCTGGGCAAGTCACTTAACCCCAAATGCCTAAAAAAAAAAAAATCAAAGAAAACTGCCCTGACATGTTAGAACCAGAATACAAAACAGAAAGAATCCACTGATCACTGCCTGAAAGAGATCCCAAAATGAAATCTCCCAAGAACATCATAGCCAAATTCCAGAGCTCAAAGAGCACGGAGAAAATATTATAAGCAGTCAAAAAGAAACAATTCAAATATTGTGGAGCTACAGTCATGATTATACAGGATTTGGCAGCTTCCACATTAAAGAACTAGAGAGCTTGGAATATGATATACACCAGAAGGCGAAGGAGTTGGGATTACAACCAAGAATCACCTACCCAGCAAAACTGAATATAATCTTCCAGGGAAAAAAGTGGTAATTTAATGAAATAGAAGACTTTCCAGCATTTCTAATTAACAGACCAGAGCTGAATAAAAAATTTGACCTCTAAGTACGAGATTCAAGGGAAATATAAAAAAGGTAAAAAAGAAAAAGGAGAAAACATAAATTCAATGAGGTTAAACTATTTATATTTTTCTATGGAAAGATACAATTTGTAACTCTTAACTTTATTACCATAAGACCAATTAGAAGGAGTATATGTAGATACCCCCCCCAAAAAAAATAAAGGGGTGAGAACGAAAACTGCACTGGAAGAAGGAGAGGGAGACTGAATGGAATAAATTATCCCACATAAAAGAGGCATGAAAACTACTATAATGGAGGGGAAGATGAGGGGGGTGGCAGGGAAAACTTAAACCTTACCCTCATCAAAACTGGCTCAGAGAGAATAACATACACACTTAGTTGGATATAGAAATCTATGTTACTCTATAAGGAAGTAAAAAGGAACAGGTATAACAGAAAGGGGAGGGAGGACTGATACAAGGGAGGGTACACACACACACACACACACATTCATTTTAACCAGTGTTAGATAGAAGAGCAGAAAGGAAGATTTATATATACCTCATATCTGGAGAAAAGTCCACCTGACAAGCATATCCTGCCACCATGTGCCCTTTAAATATTTTTTTCTTATTCAATCTAAATCGGTTCTGTGCTCCGAAAATTAAAATCTGATTGTCCATGGACTGACATGCCAACCATTTTCCTGAAAGGCAAACAATGATATGAAAAAAAAAGACCAAAAAGAGTTACATTTCATTAAAAAAAATCATTTTCTCTAATACTCCACCACTATCAACATGAAACTAATATACTTCTTGTAGAATCCTATAGCTGTGCTATGTAGCAGCTCTCAAAATTCTGCTACAGAGCTTTCTTTCCTATCAAGTGGTTGTTTTTGCTCATCTAACTCCATCTTATTCAACAAACATTTATTATGTATTGCATACATGGTGAACTGTGCTACAGATTGGGGAGATCCAAAGTTTAGTCAAGGCATAGCCTCTGCCCCCATGAACCAGTCTAACAAGGAGATAAGACATATACAAATAAAACATTACATGAGAACACCCGGGGAGCTGCAAAACAAGGGCTATGTAGTTGTAAGGGGAAGACTGCTGTTGCCTGGGGGGGATCAGGACTTCCTAAAGAGGTGACATTTAACAGATGAAAAGGAAGAAGGAAAGAATTCTTAGAATCTAAAATGGGCAGGTAGCTTCAAGGTCTTTAGTTCAATACCCTCATTTTAGAGATGAGGAAACTGAGGCCCATAAAAGCAGCATTACATAGTACAAAGAACATTATACTTGGAACTGAGAGAGACCTGGATGGAAAGGTTGTCTGACAGTTTGTTTTACTTAAACTAAGCATTCAGAATTGGGTCTATTCAATTTAACTGAATAAACATTTATCAAACACCTAGGTATAAAGCACTGTGCTAGGCATTTAGGAAGTCAGAGATTAAAAAAGCCATAAGCCTTACCCTCAAGGAGGGGCAGAGGACTTAGACAGTTTACACAGATAAATACAAAACAAGGTAGGGTGTTAAAAGGGTAAAGGAGAGACAAAATATACGAAGCAAATCTTATACATTTTCAGCTTGAGAGCTGAAGCAGAGAGGGCTTCAGTGGAGGAGGTAGCATCTGAGCAAAACTTTGAAATAAAAAGATTTCAAAAGAATAAGATAAAAAAGGTATTCTAAGTATAGGGGATGGCTTGTGAGAAAAATTCTACAAGAAGGCATTTCAAGTTCAGGGAAGAGAGAGTTGACTAAATTGGCTGAAACCTAGTGCATGTGACAGGGAATAAGGCTAGAAAGATCTATACCAGGAGTGGGGAACCTGCAGCCTCCAGGCCACACGTGGCCCTCCAGGTCCTTAAACGTGGCCTTTGGCTGAATCCAAACTTCCCAGAACAAACCCCCTTAATAAAAGGATTTGTTCTGTAAAACTAGGACTCAGTCGAAAGGCTGTACTCAAGGACTTAGAAGGCCACATGTGGCCTTGAGGCTGCAGGTTTCCACCCTGGATATGATTATATGGTCATTAAAAAGGAATTGTTTCAAGGTTTCACAAACAACTTACAAAAGCCATAGGAGGGGAGCCATCATTGCATAATGAATAGAGAAATAGCCTCAGATGCAGGAAGACCTGGGATCAAGTCCATCCTCCAACATACTGTTGACACAGGGAGAGTCGCTCAACCTCTAAATATCTCACACTCCTGGCAAACTTTCTAAGACATAAAACAGCTTCCACTCTGTATCGGTAGAGTGAGTCCCCTTTCTAGCAGTTCTCTATAGACATAAGGGTGGGCAAAGGTATATTACAAAATGATTCACAAAATAAAAACTTATAGTTTTTGCTTTTGTCCCAGAAAATCTTTTTTGTTTAATCCCTAAAGCCTTCAAGTGGGAAACTAGGTTAAGACAAAGCTGATTTATCAAATTACTGAGCTGCCAAAAGGGATTCTGTCAGCAGAAGAGCTAGGGAAAAAGATATGTTCTAATTTTGAGTTGTAAATCCTTAGAGATTTAGCAGATACCAGCTGTAAATCACTGTATTTATTTCTTTAAATACACAAAATAGTATGGTGGGTGATTCAAGAAATGAGCTAGTTAAGTCATCTATAACATAAAAGTTTACAAATATACATAACACAATGATAACGAAAAAGGGAATAAAAAACGTCTTTAGTATTGGCAAAAGTACACCAAGTTCTATGTGTTCATTCCAAAACATGAATTTTGTACTGACTTACCATTTGGAGACAAAGTCACTGCAGGCATTGAATGCATACTGGGTTCTGCTATGTATTTAAAATCTACAGGAATGTCCCTGCAAACCAAGAAACATATAAGGTGAAAAACTGAAGAAATTTCTTCAGAAGAAGGAATGTCTAAACTCTGTTTCCTATTAAGAAAATCATGAAACACAAGGGGTTAATAGACTAAGAAATGCTGGAATAGTATTGGAATTTTTAAAAAATACTGAAATTTCCTCATTAAGCTTCTTGGAAAAAAAAATTATATTGTTTGTAACAATACTTTTATTGATAATTATAACAAAATTAACATTGTTAGTGACATGTAAAGCAGTGAACAGATCGGAAAACACTTTTAATTTGAAAAATACTATAGATGCAGTTTCCATTTCAATCATCAATCAAGTCTGTATTTTTATTGTATTTAGAACTAAACTCAGCCAAAAGAGCTAAAAAAAATGGCCAACCTATTTAGCAAATTTCTTTGCACTCGGCCAGGTTGTTCTTCTATAAGACATATCTCATCCCTTTGCTGAAGCATCCATAATTCTGGTTGGTAGGATTTAGTAGAACTTATACTCTGGCACTAGCCTATGAGAACCTAATGTCACCGCTACATAATAAGGAAGCATGGGAATAGGATCTGAGTGAAGACTGTTAGCTACTCCATATGATTCCATTTTCTAGCCCGATATATAATAAAGAGATGACAACTAGCATCTTATGCAGTTTCAAAAGTAAGAATCATATGGTCTGAAGATGTCTCTCTTGAAACAGAGACAAATCAAAGGCTGGGTGAGCACTTGTCAGATATGTTGGGGGAGAGAGGAAGATTCTTATTCGCACAGGAACTGGATTTGATGATCTCTAAGGCCCCTTCAATTCTGAGATCCTCTAAGAGACTCATGGATTTTTAATGAAGATTGTGGTTAAAAAAAACAAAACACGATCCTTCCATTTGAAAAGAATGGGCAGCTTTTAGGGAAAAATAAATCACATTTCATAAAATTGCCAATAGGCTAAATCAGTTTATAATGGTCATAATTTTACATCTATTTGAAAACTAATAAATGTTCTTAGCTTGTGAGAAAAACCATGAGTGTTACTTAAAGATACAAGGGAATTTGGCCAAAGATCACATTTGTGCCTCTGGTCATAAATATGCAAGGCAAGATTCAATGAAAACCTACGCAAACTGCTGGGGAAAACAAACAAACTCAGAGTTGTGTGTCCTTCTAATGGAGTGGTGGGCGTGGGGGTGGAGCACAGTTATTGTGTATTGTAGTATAATTCTTATTTGCTTTAATCATAGGCTGTGAAGTAATTAAAAACCTCACTGACAAGGCAGACTCCAAAGGCAGTATTATTTTTAACGGGTTGTATTTTTTATGATTTGTCTTTGGTTGTCCATTTCCCTACTGTTTGTTTAGTATAAACTGTGTCAGACTTCACTAGGATGGAAACTCACCATTCCCAAACGCGTAGGCTCTTGTCGTCAGAAGTGCTTACAAACCGCCTGTTCTCATCCACAAACACAATGGTGTTGACAGCTCCCAAATGCCTATCATATTCTTGCACAATCTCCCCACTTCTGATGTCCCACTGCAGGTTGAAAAGCAGAGTACAAAGAAGTTAGAAATGGTGCACAATTATTAAAACAACAGGATAAAAATTCACTAAATCTGGGAAGCAGAGGGGAAAAGATAACCAACATCAAGTTCTCAAGAGTTTGTTGATTCTTAAAATAAAATGTGGCTGACTATAAACCAGTTTTTTTTTAATACAAAACTTCTAATTATATATTGTGGGCAATTTCTCTGACAATATCAGCTGGAAATATAACATGTAGGTCTAGAATATTAAGTTTTTTATTTCATAAACACTTACTTGTACGATCTTCTTATCTGACATACCAGCCACAAAAAGATTCTGTTTATCTTCATCAGGATTGAACTTGACACAATAAGGAACTTTCCGGTTTGTAAATCTTGATATACACTGACCTAAAATCAAAACCCCAAATTACCTGTCAATTTGACCATTTAAAAGCAAACTTGGAGTTAAGCCTGTCGATATAATAAAACTTTCATGAAGCTTGCTTGTTTCAATACTTTAGGCTATCTTATTTTTCTTCTCAACTTACAATCAGCTTTTTACTAAAGAAGCTAAGGAAGGAATTTTTATAATTCACAGTGAATGCAAAATATACACAATTCTCAGAAATAAGAAAATTATAATTAAGTAGGGATAGATACATATAAAAAACTAGAATAATAGAGAAAATGAAAGCTCAGGTTAATGAGACGGTTAACACATCAAGTAAAGCTAACTTGTCTATGGAAGAAGGGTAGAGAGGCATCACTAGGACAATATACTAGCTCAAGCTATTCCAACAGAAAGCATTTTGAGAAGATTTCATATTCACTAATCTCTGAAAATGTCTCCTTATGAAGAGCAATAAAATGGATATAAGATCACTTTTATTCATCATATTAACTCCCACCCTCAATTAACGGTGCAATTTTCTTTGTGAAAGACCCATTTGCAAATTGAAATTTTACCTCTTCAAGAGTTGTCAGAAGTAGCAAGGAAAAATTTAAGAATGATAACATTTTACTGTAAGCAAACTGAAAAATGTGTTTCACTTAAACAAATTCTAACAAGCTAAACAATTATGTATTAATTTGGCTATACTACTTTGAAAATTTTACCTGTCTCTGTGTCCCATAGCTTAAGATACCTGTCATATGCTGCACTGAGGAACTGAGTTCCTACACCATTAAAGCAGATATCTCTAACAGCTTTACTGTGACCTGAGGATAAATAAAAAAAAATTGGTGATGAGGAGGAGAGAAAAGTTAATTTTCTCTTAGAATATAAACTCCAAGAGAGATAAATTAGATATTTTAGTATACTGGGACTAATAGTTTAAAACAATTACCATAGCATTTCCTAATAGCCAGTATAAAACATCCAATAGTTAAAGGTATGCAACTTAATGAGCCAATTATTGTCTAGATGAAAGGCAGAAACTGATTTTTTGGTGTTGGTTGCTTCTGAAATGGCATATTCTGAACTATTAGTCAAACTTATGGTATATTTTGATACATGTGAACCAAGTAATTTATCTCCTTTTAAAGGGAGAGAGGCAAAACACCCAGAACCAAAAAAGAAAAAAAAAGGAAATGTTAAATGGTTAAATAAAAGCAGACACTTTATTTGGTTTGGTGAAAAGGAACCTGAATGAACAGTAAGATGATGGGGAATAACTATGTGGCCATCATCTTCCTGAGATTCCTACTGAAAAAGTCCTTCCCCTGTGTCTTTAGAAAACAGTTCCTTCTCTCTCAATGTGGCGAAGCCTACGTTGCTCCCTTTTTGTTCTGTTTCCAGGTCCAAATTCATATTCTCAAAGGTTCCCCTCATTTTACTTCCTGTGGGTACTTAAAGACATCAGCAAGCTTTTGGCTAATGAAAAGAGGCTGACAGAGGAGTGGAGAAGCTAGCTATATAAGACTGCCATTCACAAATAATATCTGACAAGTACCTTAAAAGAAACTCAACAACCTATAAAGTTTATACCATATCATTCGTGTATAAATGCCATTGAAAGAATTTAACATTTTTCAAAAAGGTAAACGGTTTAATCAATTACTCTATTTATCTGCAGAGCTCTATATGTAAAGTTATACTAATATTAGCATGGCATTTTCAGAATGGACTCACCCAAAATAAGGCATTACATAGACACAAGGATGCATAATTAGAATCAATGTATCTAAGGCGGATGCCAGATTCAAAGCCAAAAGTGCTTTTGTTAACAATATAATAAATTCTTTCTCTTCACAAATGTCCACGTTTGTGACCAACAGACACCACCTCAGTATCAACTAAAAACAAGCAAAATGGCCAATAATGCTTTCACTTGGTAAATTAGCTTGGTCACCTCTTTACTCTCCCTAGGGTTTTCTACACTTTATTTGCAAAGACATTCATTCAATTGCAGATTCCACGGACATGAAACACCCTTACCCTGATTTTTCCCAAAGAGTTTCCCCCCCCACTGATACTCACCAATCCAAATGAAGCATTTTTGGTAGGCTGCAAAGATTAATAGTAATACTACCCTTGAATGGTTTACTCCCCATCTATGAACAAGTGAATACAGCTATAAAAGCTTTCTCCTTCTATGAAGCATATATATACATCATCTTGCAGCAGACTGACACCTAATCACTACCAGCTATCTAATTTCACCATGAACACTACTAGTCAATGCACAAATGGGACAAACAGATTTCTTACAACAAGCCTTGCTAAGAGCAGAATCGTTAATAGTAAAATCACATGATCAGGAGTGCTATTTTTGGATACAAAATACATTACTCCACACATAAAACTTAGGTGTATATATATGTATGTGTGTACACACACACGTGAATATATACACACAGAATACATACTATACACTTATACACGTGTACACACACACACACATATATATATATAAAGAGAGAAATATTACCAACAAATGTTCTCAAACAGCGCCGATCTCCATAAACTTCCCATAGCTATGAAAAAAAAAATGGAAATGTTAAACTGCTCTCATAAGTTCAGTAAAATGACAAGTTTTACTATTAACAGTCATGATTGCAGAAGCATGTAGATATGTTACTGGTTTTGAAATTTAACTATTTTGTTCTATTCACTTAAAACAATAAAGTTTTTAATAATAGCAAAAAAAAAGTCAAAAGAAATTCTGCCCACCACCTCCAAATCTGGTATCCAGTAGAAATATGTTATGATTACATAACTAACTAAAATCCAGTAAGCTTACAATTACTCTGTAATTACCTCACACTGATCTTTTTTCAGGGTTAAAGGGAATACAATGCCAATCTGCATACATAATAATATAGATGTTAGACAGAAACTAATGGCTTAAATCCCAGACTTCTTTGCTTATATATTTTAAGGTCCTATAGGCAAGTGATCAAATGGTTGCTCTAGCCAGAGGAAGCTACTACTTCATGGACCCATCTCTTTCATATATTTTGGTTTACAGTCATGAAAAATTTATGAAGAATGAATTTTTAATACAGAACTTTTTGAACCCCAAGACCACTACAGGGCTGATATTCCTCAAACTACCATAACATTTCAGGTATGGACAAAACACATAAAAATGCACATTCTGATTCTGTATGTCTTAGTATGTAAGCTGGCTCTTTCAGGTTAAAAAGAAAGACTCTAAAGCTGCAGTTGACTTACATGTTGAGAGTGCTGGCAAAGAGTCTTACCTATACTGATTTTGTCATTGTTGCTGTAGTAGAAGCTTAGTGGTCAGAGATCACTTGCCAGGATATAGAAAGCAGCAGGGGTATTTCTGCTACCTCTTGAGAGCCACTGTCAATAGTTGTGGGTCCCAATTTTGCCACATCCTCTCCAACATTTGTCACTTTCCCTTTCCATAATTTTAGCCAATCTGGTAAGTGTAAAATGATAGCTCTAGGTTGTTTTAATTTGCATTTCTCTAATCAATAATGATTTAGAAGAGCATTTTTTTTCATATGAGTATAAATTGTTTTGATTTCTTCAGTTACTAAACTACCTATACCCTTTGACCCAGCAATACCATCACTTGGTCTATTTCTGAAGATAATTAGGGAAAAAGAACCTATATGTTCTAAAATGTTTATAGCAGCTCTCTTTGTGGTGGCAAAGAACTGGAAATTGCAGGGTGCCCCTCAATTGGGGAATGGCTGAACAAGTTGTGGTATATGATTATGATGGAATACTACTGTGCCATGAGAAATGATCAGTTCAATGATTTTAGAAAAACATGGAAAGACACGAAATAATGAAGAATGAAATGAGTAGAACCAAGAGAACAGCAATATTGTTTTAAGAACAACTTTGAGCAAATAAGCTTTTTTGACTATTATAAATATCCAAATTAACTATAAAGGACATATGAAGACACTACCTGCATCTAGAGAAAGAACTGATAAATAGATGTATATAACAATTATACACACACACACACCAATTTGTGTCTAATGTTAGCCATCTCTAGGACAGTAAAGGGAAGAAAAAAAATTACATAATAATTTTGTTGTATATTTGAAAGGAATAGCAAGTTGTGCATAGTAGATTTACAGTTTCATGCGCAATCATCTATTTTTAAATTGTACTATGTTATGGAAATGCTTGTCTATTCCATAAATTAAAAATAAAATTCAAAAACAAAACCAAAATAAATATTTTTTAAAAAAAAGAATAGCTGAGTCAAAAAGGCTACCCATGTTGAATATAATTAATAAATGGATTTTTATTAATTAGTGTCAGCCTGTACTCCAGGTCCACTTACACCCTTTGAAATATAGTTTAAACTACTGAAAAGATGTGAAAGGAATATTATCTTACTTTGCCTGATAGTGAGATAATAAATCCTTGGCATGGGACATTTTTTATATGACAAGAGACATGAATGGTAAATGAATTCCAGACAAGAATGTTTGCTGAGAAAAAGTTAAGAATAGTTGTAGAGGAAAAAAGCTTTGGTTAAATGTCTTTGGTCAGAAAGAGGTAACAGGGAAAGAGTTTGGTAGGTTAGTCTCTAAGTCCCTTTTCTATTGCTGTCGAGGCTGTAGCCTTTTAAAGTCAGCCATTTTAAAATGGTTTGAGGAACTACACTAACTAATGTGCCAGACAGGTAACAGAATTAATAAGCCAAATTAAACTTTAAAAACTAATATGCCCCCCCAACCAACAATGAAAGTACAAAGAACTGATTACAAATTTAATACAAAACCACCCAGAAAATCTCAACAACTAAAATGGGAAAATGTTGTACATGATAAAGAACCTAGGAGCTAGGATAAGCTAATCTTAAAACTCAGGTCTTGTCAGATACTAGAGCTTAAAGAAACATTATTTACATTACAAAAAAAAAAGGATCTGTACAATTTAAGAACAAAACAATTATTTTTGTCACCCAAATTTCTTTTTATTTATTCATTCAAACTGAGTATGTGAATCTGTTATCATGCATATTGATCACATGTAATAAAAGAACCATAGAAGAGTATCTACTAATGTTCAACATTTATTTGTTTGAGCCTGAAATTGTGATTTCATCAGCCTGGAAAGTAGACAGTAATGGAATTCCCTTTATCAATGAAGACTGGCCAAGTATCCTGCAACTTAACAGTTTTTAGAGAGTGGCCTGGAGCCCAGAAAAGCTATGTGACTTGCCCAGGGCCACAGAGTCAATATGTGCCAGAGCTGAGACTTGAACACAAGTTATTTGGACTTTCAAGGTGGTTTTCTACCCACTAATCCAAATGGCTTCTCATACATTATTACCCTTCTCATACATTATTACTAAATATGAATGCCAGTGAAAAAAGATAACTGAAACATTATCATAAATGCTATTTTTTGCAACAGTAGCTCAAACTGGTAATGTCACACATACTTATTTTAGTATTTAACAAAAACTACAAAAAGTCCAGAAAAGTCTTAAACACCACATCAGAACAGATAAAGCTAGCAAAATTTAATATTTTTGTTACAGGTGAACTAATGTCCCCTTACAAAAATGGGCAGAGAGTGACTGGAGAAATGGCATGTGCCAGAGCCAAGAGCATGAAAGAGGAAAATTAACAGCCTTTTGCAATAAACTACAAAAAGGTAGGAGTTTTGGACACTAAATTACTTTAAAGAAGGTAGGAGTTGACTGAAGTGAAAGAGGAAGAAGCTGTGTATGAGAACAAAGCCCAGGGCTTTTTTAGCACAACATACTGTGTAACAAAGTAAAGGTTCTAAATCACAGTAAGAAAAAGGTACAATTAAGCAGTAATAGGTAACCATTGAAATTTAGGGTAAGAAAAACCACAATATTATATCTAGCTTTTATTATTTCTTCAAATCCTACTCTCTATTGTTTTTAAATGACAACAGAGTTAGAGCTAAAAGGGACCTCAGAAGCCAGTCCAACACCCTCATCTTATGGCTGAGAAAACTGAGGCTCAGTGATTGAGGTGAAGCAATTTCCTTGGGGTCATTGAGCTAGTCAGCCTTGGAGGCTGAACATGAATCCAAGTCCTCCGACTCCAGAGCCAGAGTTCTTTCTACTCCATGGTGCTGCTTCCCACCTCCTTTAGAGAGTGTGGTCCAGCAGCAGCTGTGGCTGCTGGCGTGTGTGGGAAGATAAGCAGGAATGAGAAGATTTCTGGGGCAGTCTAGGCTCTGTCACTCTACTCTCTCTGTGACGCTTAACCTCTCAGAACCTCAATTTCCTCATCTGCCAAGTGAGGATAATAAAAGCTGTCCTCCTAATCTCATAGGGCTGCTGGAAGGATTTTGCTATGTGTGAAAGATTAAAATGAGGTGCTGAATATGAGAGAGCAGCTAGGTGGTACAGTATACAATGCTGGGCCTGGAGTCAGGAAGAACCAAGTTCAAATTTGACCTCAGACACCTACAAGCTATATGACCCTGGGCAAGTCACTTAACCCTGTTTGCCTCAGTTTCCTCATCTGTAAAATGAGCTGGAGAAGGAAATGGCAAACCACTTCAGCATCTCTGCCAAGAAAACTCCAAATAGGGTCACAAAGAGTCAGACATGACCGAACAATAACTGAATGTCAAAGTTCTTTAAAAATTAGAAAGCACCCTAGACATACATGAGGTAATAATAGTGATTGGTTCTATTGTTTTAGTAATTTATAAAATATGAAAAAATTAATCCATGTAATCTCACTTATCTAAGCTTTCCAAAAAACCCAACCGATTGACTCAAGAACCTTAAACAAGGTACCACCCATCTATATTACCTATCTAATATAAGGCTGTCTAAATTTCAAACATAGTGGCCTATGAGAAAATAATCTGCCTCTTAAGAGCTAGTTTGGCAAACCCAAATGTAAAATGATGGTAAAGGTCACAAATTTCCAAGCAAAAATGCTAGTTATATATAGGGGGTCCTAAAAATCTTGGTGCAGTTTTCAGCTAGTAAGGCCTAAGCCTTTAAACAGCTTTAAAGCAATTTAAAAGCTATTAAAGCTTAAAGCCGCACCAAGACTTTTGGGACACCCATGCAATATTCCTATTTTATTCAGGTCAGTGATGACATATTAGAAATATCTCACCTTAATTTTGCAGTCCATGGAACAAGACAGCAACAAATGGCCGGAAAGAGGAAACAGTCTGACAGCACTGACACCCTTTAAATGAGCATTACAATAATTAATTGGAAAAAGGAAAAAAAAATAGTGAAATAAGAAATGAAAAAAAAAAAGATTCTCAATAGAATTCATTAGTCTCTCCTTCCCTGCAAAAATTATGTCCTAAACTAAACTTCATTATTAATTCAGGAACAGATGCCTGGGGCAAACACAGCTTTTGAAGTCCCTTGAAAAAAACAAACAACAACAAAAAACCAATTGATACTCATTGGGAGGGCACTGCTGATTTATTCAAACAGCTGATTTGCCCCTTCTCCCTCCCAAATGCAGTATGACAGCTTTTTGTAAAAAGCTGCAAATTGTGGGTCTTGGAATGAGTACAACCAACAAAGAATTTCAATATAAAATGCCTCCTACCTTCTTTCTATCTAAACCCTTCAGAATACAATTTGTTTATAAGCTTAAAATGCCAATTATTTGCCTCTGCTGAATATGATTTTGTTTTTTCTTGAGTTAGTCTGAATATTGCTACCTTCTCACCTGCTACTTTTTGCTCCTCCAATGTGAAAAGATCCCAACAGGGGAGATAAAGAGGAGTTACTGAAACTGAAGGGAGGGCTCAATGACAGCACCCCTGCCCTGTTACTCAATGACTTCACTGTCTGCAGGGAGGTGAATGCATTAGTGACTTCCAGGCACATCTCTATCCTCCACAAGAGATTCTGGTGAGCTACAGGGAGGGTGGGCAAATAGCGGTAGTTGTCACTGCTATGGAAGTAAGTCAGTATTAAAGATCAACTTGGTTGGTTGTGTTTAAATGGTTGGGAAACTCAGTGTAAACCATTATTTCCAAAATTAATAACTGAATTTTCAAAACTGGCCTTTCTATAATGACATTACAACAAAATGGAAATATCAGTTTCTACCTTTGTATGTCCAGACCAAACATGGATCTGTTTTTTCGGAAGATAACATTTCTCAGGTGGTACTGCAGAACGGAGATTAACACCTACGTCTTGAGGAACATGAAGATAAGACCTGCCTTGATAGTCATACATTTCTTTGACTAAAAGAGAAGACAAAGGAAAAGAGAATAAATAAACTATTCACAACAAAGCTATAAATTAAATAGCTCTGCAGTCATTTTAAAACAAGATTATGCCATTTTTAAGAGTCCGTCTTACTTTTTAATAACACAATAATCACAAAGACTTGTTCAAGTTTAATTGCTTGGAATTATAGCTATTATTAGCAATTAGATGTACTGTCAAATTTCTAAATTGCTAAGGAATGTCAGATACACACTTTTTAATAAGAAATCTCTTAGTCATGCCTACAATTTAGTGATTTATAAAATAGTTTATAACATAGTTGTGGAAGGAAAAGTCATTTGATTATACCTATATTTCTAAAGCTCCACAATTTATTTATTCCCTCCATGGACACAAGACAGCAACTTTGTAGTAGGCAGCTTCATGAGTTACCATGACCAAAAGAATCTGTAACCTGGTGGTCAACTTGATGGTGATAAGCCTCTCCAAACTTAGTTAGGCTGGTCCTTAGACAACAACTTGTCCCTAAACCTATCCTCAGAGTTTCTGCAACATGGAGGCCCCGCTAAAACTTAGAAAGGCAATACAGTGATTTGGAGCTGGGGAAGGTCTGGGATTCAAATCCCACTTCCAACAGGAACTAGCTAGTTGTCCATAAGCAAGTCACTGAAACTCTGAGACTTAAGTTTCCTCATTTCTAAAACAGGAATAATCATCATTATCATCATCATCATCATAATCATATCTGTCCCACCTATCTCAGTATTATTATGAGGATCAAATTAGATAAGGCAAGGGAGAGAAGGGAATAAGCAATTATTCTGTGCTAAGCACTTTAATTTATCTCATTTGATCCTCACAACAACCCTTCAAGATAGGTGCTATTATGTCCATTTTATAATTGAGGAAACTGAGGCAAACAGAGGTTAAGTGACTTGCCCAGAGTCGCACAGCTAGTAAGTGTCTGAGGCTGGATCTGAACTTAAGTCCTCCTGATTCCAGGCCCAGCACTCTCATCTACTGCACCACCTAATATATGTAATGTGCTTCGTAAATTTCAAAGCACTGAATAAATATGAAGTGTCCTTATAATAACCATTCAATTGGCTGAGACATTCACAACCCAAGGCCATTTCCAGGCCATGATTAGGTACTGGATTAGGAAAGAATCTGATTATAAACAGAAACTTTATCTACAATACTGAGAGGAAAAGAAATAATATTTAAGCATGGATGGATGCCATTTGTTGCAAGCCATCTTAAATCAGCAATAAAATGGAGTATAGATAGAAAAGTGCTTTTCCAAGCAGGAGAAATGGTTTTTCCTTTTCCCATTTGCACCCTTTGTCTAAATCCTCTTCTAAACCACTTTTTTCTTAAATTCAGGGCAAATTTTCTAGTAGGAATATAAGAGTACCCACAGTGCTACAGTGGGTGCTCTGAGGAGATGAATGCACTTTCAAAGCCACATTAAGTATAAACATTTGTCACGAGATGAGGCATCTTTAAAATAACACTAATGTTTTAAAACACTTGAATTTTTTAAACTTCAAGTGCTACTGTGTGAAATGAGAATCAAATTAGCATTCTACCTCAAAAGCATGTCTAACGATGTAGGAAGTTGAGGGTTATTTAGGGTATGTCTTCTTTCTTTACCATATTATTAACCATTAGCACCTCCATCAGAAATACAGAGGTAGAAGAAAAAAATGAAAGAGACACCAGTTACCTTTACTAGATTTCTTTTCAAAATTTAGAGAATGAAATTAATGGTTCCAACCCAGATTTAATTACTGAAGTTACTCTTGCTCCCATTAGTGAATACTTAAGAGTTCACTGACTTTAGTGTTGTAGAATTCACCTAGCGTAAGAATCTAAATGTGTAACTGGATGATTTCAGTTAATGCTGAGGACAATCAGTGTCATCCAGATTGTGTACCTAGACCTACTTTTTTTTACAAAAACTCAAAGTTTTCAATGTATGATTTAAAAGAGAAGTCAGTATAAAAAGTACATTACCATGTAAAATGGTCTTTTCTTCCCCAGGTTTGTCATCCTCATGTTTGCCTTTCTTTTGCCTCTTGGCTGTGATTTCATCTAATTCTTTCTGTTCTTCCTATAAAAATCAAGTACATTACTTTAAAATTCAAGTTCCAGCTCTCACCTTACACTAAAATCACCTATAAGTTGCTTAAAAAAGCCCGCTGACTATAACAAAGGGTCTTCTTATGGCACAAAAGTGGTGGCAAAGATAATGCCTAAGTTTAAAGTGGTCAAATTTCCCCTAAATCAGAAAAATGAGTATATTTTAAAGAGTGGAGAACTTTAGAATGGAAAATCATAATATATCTTGTTAATCAATAAGCATTAATTAAGCCTTTACTATGTGTCAGGCTCTGAGGAGCCAAGACAAAAGCAAAATAAGTCACTGCCCTCAAGGAGCTTACATTCAAATGGAAGCAATCAAGAAAATGAACGAGGGTTTTGGTTTTAGGTACTCTTTCAACTTGACCATAAGTTTCTTATGGCTAGCATCACCTTGTTTCTTTTGGAACTCAGTGTGTAGTATAGTACTAGAAACACAGTGAGGGCTCAAATCTTTCCCTTGGTTGACTTATACTCATAAATATTTAGTGATACCAATATCAGAATTATAAGACTGGTTTGGAATTTCCAACATGGGAGACATGATCTTAAAATAATCCTAAAAACATAACATAAACAGAGTATCAGTGCTTAGTAGAAACATTCTTACATCCCTTAGAGAGTACATACATGTAAGGCCAACAAGAAATATTAGTGCTTACTTCTGAAGGTTTAGCCACTTCTTTTTCATCTACATATTTTGCCCATGGTCCTAAGAAACCATCAATATTTGATGCATCATTTTCTTTGAACTTTTTTCTCTTTTCTGTTTTTTTCTGTCCAGTTTCAAACACAGTTAAACCTGTAAGACATCACAAACATATTTAGTAAAGATGAATATTACTTACACAGGGAGTGATAATGAATAGACACAGAGTTTTCAAAGCATATATAACACAAGGCAAAGAAACAAAAGCTTAACCATAGAGTCTCACACCACAATTTGTAATCCATTCTTTTGGTAAGGAAGCCCTCTGGCCACTAAGGTGCTTTATACATGCTATTATAATATTTAAATATTCTTCAAAGTTTAATGAATCAGGAAATTGAATAACTTTTCAATAACACAGAATCCTCTCTGAATGAACTTTACTTTGACCACAGCACCTCCAATTTCAAAGAAATAACAGTTTAATACTGCAAATTAAATAATGAATAAAATTTGTTATTAAGCTGTCAACTTAGACATTTTATTTTATTTTTTATGAAGTGGTAGATTGTCACTTAAAGAACCTATTCAGTTCAAAGCCAACTTCCAAAATGTTTTGGCTTACTTATCATTTAATACAAGATTACAAAGTAAATATGGCTGTATTAATATCAGTTTGCGATGTTTTCGAGTGATCTTAATATAAAGCTGACATCTGATTACAGAATTTTAGAGCTAGAGGGCATTTAGTTCAAACAGTCAACCAATGCAGAAATTTCTTCAGCAGCAAAGGGAAGGGAATAAACATCTATATAATGCCTTTTATGTACCAGGTGCAGGACCAACTGCTTTATAAATATTATCTCATTTGATCCTCATAACAACCCTGTTATATTCCCATTTTAAAGTTAAGGAAACTGAGGCAAAGAGAGGTTAAGTGACTTCCCCAGGGTTACACAGTAAGTATCTGAGGCCTCATTTGAACCCAAGTCTTCCTAACTCCAGGCCCAGCACCTTTATCCACCATCATATTTAGCTGCCAATACTAGCGTAACACTAACAGACTGTCATCTATTTTCTGCTTGAATAATTTCAATGACGGCAGTGGCAGGGAGAGTTCATTATCTTACATGACAATTTATTCTATTGTTGTCCATTAGACATTGGAGAGCAGAGACTTTTACCTTTCCTTGAATTCCCAGTATTTAGCACAATGTCTGACACAGAGCTGCTTAATATTTACTATTTACTTTTTTTTTTACTATTTTACTTTTTACTATTGGACTACTGAATAGATCTAGTTATTATAAACCTGTTTTTCTAATATTAAGCTAAAATTAGTTTCCCTGTAACCTCCATTAATTTATTGGTCTTAGTAGTGCCCTCTGTAGCAAGAACAAATCTCCTTCTCCTAGGACAGCATTTCTGATGTACCCCCAGTCTTTTTTATTTCCAGGCCAGATACCCCCTGTTTCTTCATCTCTTCCTTAATATTTCCACACTTCTCACCATCTTAGATCTTATCCCTCTGGAAACACTTTGATTATCTCCTTAAAATGCAGCACATAGCATTAAAATATTCCAAATGTGGCCACTAGCAAAGACCACAATAAGACTAATATTTGCTATAATCTGGAGTTGATCATATGAACTTTATTCCCCACCTAGGTATACCACATTGGTGGTCTGTAATAAGCTTGTCTTCTAGCACAAGAACTATTGTCAATTCTGGTTTCCACTATCCTGTACTTATGCAATTTGTTTATTTAAACAAAGATACAGGATTTCTTTTCTTTTCTTTTTCTTGGTAATTGGGGTTAAGTGACTTGCCCAGGGTCACACAGCTAGTGTCAAGTATTTGGTCTGAGGCCGGATTTGAACTCAGGTCCTTTTGACTTTAGGGCCGGTGCTCTATGCATTGTGCCACCTAGCTGCCTCCAGGATTTATTTTCTGTCAGAGATTCTATATTGCTATGGGCTTTTTTCCATCATCAAGAAAATATAAATATCTCATTATAATTTTTAAAATGTTCACATATGTGCAGTTAATTTTTGAACAACGGTTTATTCTGTAATTAGCCTTGAATGATTTACAGTAAATGATGACAGAAGCAGTCCAGAAAATGAAATCCAGAGTCAGTTCAATCCAATAAGCATTAGGTTATTTCACTCTTCCTTATGATGAAGATTTAAATAGAATTACTAAGCAGTCAAGGTGGCTGAAACCATTGTTGTCCCCAGCAGATGGGGGACAGAGAAATCTTCTCATGAACACAGTCTTTCCATCTTCTAATGGTAACTCCTAGGTCAGGTGCTAGGGATGTACTACATTTGCCATGGCTGAACTGGAACCATGCCAGACCTGAAACTGGTCTCTGTCCATGTGGAAAAGGAAACACAGGAAAGGCCAAAATAGAAAAGATTATCTGCAGGGCGGTAAACATGCTGCAGATCATAAAAGAGGAGGGAAAGAAAAATTCTATCTTTGACTGAGAGTCTGAAGAGAGTAGCAAAAGGTTAGAAAGGCAGTAGAATCGAGCAGAGAAATTTAAATGGGTTGCTGGTGACACAGATATATTATACTACAACAAGTTTCAAGGAATAAAATGGCTACACATTTATGTTTTAGCAAAAATCTGGAGCAAGTTGATGTTTAAAAAAAATTTATACAAAATTATATTGATTATTTACTACACAGACATACATGTCTTGTTAGCATTGAACAGCTTTCCAAGTATTCAGGCTATACAATAGGCTATCATTCCCCCCACCTCTCCCTTCCTGAGCCCCCCTGCCAGGCACCTGGAAAAACCATATGTATTACTATAAGAACAAAACTGGTCCTTTGTATGGCACAAAAAGAAAATTGCTTAAATATACCCACACCTTCAAAAATCAGAAAAAAAACCCAAGTATTACTATATAATGGGAGTGACCAATTTACAATAGAATCAAGTGCAAGGATGGACTCAGTATTTATTGTTCAAATTCTAGCCTAGTTAAATTTGGAAAGGCTCATCATGAAGCTGATGAATTTTTCTTCTACAGCAACTCTTAAAGACCATCCATTAGGCTAGAGAAAGGCAGCATCCATACTGACAAAATTATAGATCCTTGATATAATGAAGCATGCAAGTATCAGATATTGAAATAATTTACCTTGATTTTTCTCAGCTTCTTCTACAGACCCAATATATTTAGCAGAAACTTGATGATTATCTAATGAGGGGTCCAATGCATAACCTAAATTTTAAAAAAGGGGGGGCAAACTGTCATTTGAATTTTTTGCCAGTCACAATTTTATAATTGCATAAATAACTTCACATCCCATTTCCTCGACTAAAATGCATCAACAATTCTCTTCACTTAAAAGCAATCATCTTTCCCTGTCATATATTTCTAGTTAAATCCACAACCGAAAAGGATAAAGACTATTCTTTCAGGAAATTAATCACACTAAAATTACTAAGATCTTTGCTGGTTGTTTAAACCTTTGTCTACTTTCTAATAAGACAGTAATATATGTATATACAAATACACTAAAAAGGTCAATCATAAAGTAGTAATCACTTTTAATTATTTACTGATACCCAACATTCCAAGGTTTAGTTAGGAAAAGACCAATTTTTTTTTAAAATTACATGAAATAGGGTGGGGAAGAGAACTTTTAAAAATTAACACCTTGCTGTACATTTTGGAAAATGCTCATTTCTATTTTTGGTAAGAATATTCTTCACTTCCTACCCTAAAATGATAGTTTATTTGTAATCACCCCAGATTGAGATATTTCAGTGGTAGGTGACTAATTTAAAAATACATTACCTAGAGGTCTCTAGAGGGTTTTGGAAACAAGGAAAAAAGGGCCAAATACTAATCGAAAACAAATAACACATTTTATAATACTCTTTAAGCATATGTCACTTGAACATCCAAAGGCAACTTAATCTCAGTATCATAAACCACCAAGGCCATAATTTGTTTCCACAGAGAATTTATATGGAATATTTTAATATAGATACTTTTTAGACATAGAGGGGGCGGGAGTTAGGAATAGTAAACGTATGTATCTTTGTGGACACATGCAAGTTGATAGTTTTTATTCCTCAGCTAAAGCTTATTAGTAAAGACTCTGCTTTCTCAAGAATCAAGATTTAAGTCAAATATACTTGATAATAAGTGCTTAATAAGCTAAATGGTACAGGTGCTCAACTCACCCTCTTGACATGCTAGAATAGAACCAACCACCTGGCTATTAGTTCATTTGCATTTACTTTTCAGCATTAAAATATTTTCTTAGCCAGAAGAGATAGCTTGATGATAGGAAAGCAGCTTTGGAGCAGGATCCCTGAAATCACAGGTTCAAATCCCATGAGTCAATTTAGTCTTTCATTCCTTTAATGTACAGAAAATTCACTGCACATGAACTTGTTGAATGAGACTTTAAAGAAGCTAAAAAAAAATTAAGTTGATACCCCACTAAAAAAGCAACACAACTAATGAAGACTTGTATGGATAGTAAACTAGTCTTTAAAATTGGACCTGTCTCTACATACATACCTGTGCACTAAAGTTCTGGTGATAAATGAGAGAGTTTTCTGGTTCTTCCTGCCTCCATGTATTCCCCCAAATTCAGCTACAGTTTTTGTTTAGAAGGAGGGAATGTGCTCCCTCTTCTCTGTTCACCACTATCAATAAAAACCCTCCTTTTTTTGTACCCCCTTTCTAACTTTTCTGCATGGAAGAAAAAAGTAGAGTTCATAAAATCATAGGAGTTAGAAGAGACTTTAGAGATCAACCTCTAATCTTAGAGACGAGGAAACTGGCCCAGATTGGTTAGGTGACTTGCTCATGGCCACATGGGTAGTAAGAAGCAGAGCCAGAAGTAATCAAATCAACCAACCAAAAAGGAGTTATCAAGTACCTGATTTTTGCAAGGCACTGTACTAAGCACTGTCAATAAAAAGAAAAAACAAATAAAAGTCCCTGCCGTCAGTCTAACAATAGGTATATAAGTATATATACAAAATTAATACAAGGTAGTTTTGAACCCAGGTCTTCTGACTCCAAGTCCGGTGCCATTTTTGCTGCCTTACACAAAGTTCCCTCTGTTCCCTAATTCCCTTGCATGCTTTCTTCAACAACCATTCAGTTCTATCCAACCCCATACTTCATATATATATATATATATATATATATATATATATATATATATATATATATATGTATACACATACATATATATATGTATACACATACATATATATATATACATATATATATGTATATATAGGAATTAAATGCATGTGAGTGGATATAGAGGAAAAATTACTTTTAATTTTCAAAGTAACAAAATATTTCTTAATTCTCCTTTGTCAATTTTATGAAAGTTAACTAACTATTCTTAAATAGAAAAGTATCCACCTAACCTGGCAAAATACATAGATCTTGTGCAATAACACAACCAAAATACCAATCTGGATAACAGTGTATCCTTCTTTAGAGTTTAAAATCCATTATAAGTTCTTCTCTTATTTGTCATTATTTTTATTTTCCTTTTTCAAAAATTCAATTTTTTCCTAAGGTAGACAGACAATGGTATAAGTCTTTCACCATCAAGACAAAATAAAACAAAGAGAAGTTCTTATCTCAAGTACTTATTAGGAGTAAGAGGCTAAGTCTGGCTGAGATCTACCCAATTCTGACCTATTTTCCACTGCACCATGCTTTAGCCAATGAATATCTTTATTTTATTTAGTTATCAATATGCATAGTCTGTTTTTTCTTTTTGAAGCTTGTGTTATTTACTTAAAAAACCAAAATACTTCTATTAGCTTTCTTTTGGTAAATTTGTCTGCAACAGGCCCAATTTTAGGCAGATTTAAGATATTCTACGAATTGGAGAAATTATAATTTTTGCCTAAAATTTCCCAAACTGTCTAATCATGGTCTAATTGCTAGTACTTGGGGGGAATAAAAAAGACAGAATCAAAACATTCATTAAATTATTTAGCAAATCCACTTCACACTGTTACAAGTTTCAACTCTTGCCACAACAAAGACAATCCTTATGAGCTTGTAATTTGCCAGATAAGACTTATACTTTATACCATTCATTTGACATTGCGCCATCTAGTGATAAGACATGAATCAAAGGCTATTTTTAAAAGATCGAGGCTATTTCTGATTTCATTTTAAAAGTTAAGGGAATGATTCTCTCTGCTTTCTAAAGAGAATATTTATTGAGAGAAAAAAGCAAGGCAATTACTAATGCCATTTGATAGATGAGAAAACTGAGGGTCAGAACGATTAAGTGATTTACCTAAGGTCAAACATTTAGTTACTAGAGTAGATGGGGCTCAAATTCAGGGTTTTTGACATCAGATCTAGTGTGCTTTCTGCTATACTTATTTTGAAAACATGACCCTCCATTTTGACACACCTTCCAAGAACACTGTGCAGCAAAAAAACAAAAACAAAAAAACCCCAAAGCAAAACACCTACTTTAGTTGAGTGTAAAGAATAATAGACTAATTCATATTTCAGATGAGAATTCAGACAAGGGTTGACTTCTGCTTATTTCATTAACTCATTTTTCTTTGTCCTTGATAACAAAGGGAATTGATGGTGAACAGGGCTGAATACTTTTTTTAGAACTTACTTATTTAGGCATATGAAATAAGAACTAACTATGGCTTTTGTCTTTGCTTGAGGACAAAAATCATTCTTTAAGGCCTACCTCAAATGTCTTTTCATCTACAAAGCTTACTCAGATTACTTCCCCATCAGTGATGAGCCTGTTCTTACCACAGATTGTGAAGTCGTGCCTGCATTTCTCATATGCACATATTATTTTGTATTACAACTATTTGTGCATGCGTCATATCCCGACAATGTGAAATCTATGAGGACAGTTTAATATTTGTCTTTTTTCCAGATCTTAGTAAAATGTACTAAACATTGTACAGGTGCACATGGATTAAAGTGATTACTACTGAAACCAAAAAATTGTGTGTAGAAAGATTCCAAAGCTTCATTTTCCAATTTATTTTTCAGAAGGAGGAAGAAATGACAATACATTACCTAAGTACTGAAAAGAAATATGAATTTGGAGTCAGGAAACCTGGCTTTGAATTCCAGTTTTGTGACTTACCACTCCTGGATGAAGAAACTCCTTCTGCCCATGCAGACCCACACCTTCTCAGTAATGTATAGTCTTAAGAGAGCTGCACAAGGCTCTGAGAGGTTAAAGAACTTTCCCAGAATCACAGAGCCAGTTCATGTCACAGGCAGGACTTACACCTAGGTCTTCCTGACTCCATGACAGCCCTCTATCCACTACTCCATACTGTCTCTAAGGAACCCATAACTGCTTATTAGCCCACAATGGGAATTAATATATTAGTAAACTCCAGAGAGTTTAACAACAATTGTTTCCAAATGCTAATCTAAGTTTCTTATCTTCCAGCTTAAAAAAAGTAACAAAATAGATACGCATATGAAACAAATATGATATTCAACAACTGTAGGCTAAAAAACCAGATGTTGTTTTTCTATCATTAAGAAATATCCACTCTTCCAATTAGGTTAAGCTATAAGTCTTACCATAGGTTGCAAAAGTTCGCCTCTGCTGTTCAAACATGAAATCATTGATATGAGTTGGTTCAGCATATCCAGAAAGCATATTCCTAGGGGCAGCCATCTGTTGAGTCCTAAAGGGATTTTCTGGTCCAAACTGCAATATTACATGGAATTAAAACATATTTAAAGAATTAGCTACATGCATAATAGCAGAAAATCTTTTTTGCTACATTATGATGATATTCTGAAGACCAAACTACTAAATTTCAATTCTTCCAAGTCTATCCCTTCTCTAGATGTTTCAGGATTCCCTGGAGAAAATGGAAATTTAAAGATTCCAGCACTAAGATGAAGAGGCTATTCAGTTTGAACAGCAAGAAAGAACAATGCTCATATTCAAGAATTAAGATTCTGTTTGCATTTCACAGAAAAGAATCATGTTAACCTTCTGCCTTAAATTGTTTAAAAAGAAAATGCCTGGTAAGCTTGGCTCACTGCAAGCAATACAATCATACTTTCATTTACAGATATGTCTAATCAAAGCATAACCTTTTAAGCATTTGGCTTTAGCACAAAGATCTATCTGATTTTGAGCAAACCTAATAACAGTAAAGTCTCGATTAACTATAATTTAGTCACAAAAGCTAAATGTTTGAGAAATCTTTGGGAAGGATTTTATAAATGTGAATAAAAGCAAAGAGCCTTCCAATGACATAGCAAGAAAGTCTGCTTAATAAAGAGTGGAAGCAATCTGGGTAAGTGGCTAAGAATGTCAATTTTTAGACTGCCAAAAAACATTACCACATTAACTCTTGTTGCATTAAATGTGAAATGACTGTCCAGTGACCAACAGGACTTAAAACTGGGGGAAATGAATCAGATTCATATTGACATTTTCACTATAAATGAAACCAGAAGACAAAAGGAATTTGTTGCTAACTGCAAGATTTGCCTTGAAAGGAGTTAGCAGAATTGGTTTCATCATGTCGAAAAACATCATTTGAAGGGACATTTAGTCATGTCACATTGTAGTATATATGATAAGCACAAGCAAAAGGAGCTGTATAATGATATTTTCTGCTTATATACCACCATCACTTGCAAAGGATAATGAGACAGTGAAATTCTAAGACCTTCCAAATTAAATCAACACACACACACACACACACACACACACACACACACACATATACGTATATACACACACACTTTACTGTGCAAAAGATGGCAAAATATGTGTTGGAACATATGGCAAAGAAATAAAAGATGAAGGAGGTCAAAGGGTTGTAGACAATATATAAGCCTTATGAGTGTACCTCATGAATATATATATATATTTTTTTTTCATAAAAATGGCTGAGAGGTACTGGATATGGCAACTATCAAATAATATTACAAAATGATGAAACGAAATACATCTTGACAGGAAATAACTTGTTATCAATGGAGGTAGTACAATTTCTCAATCTGTTGCTGAAGCAACTACAATAATATAAACAAATTATTGAAAAAAAGTGAAATGGTGAATCAAGGAAGAGACACTGAGAATATCACAATTTTCTAAGGAAGATTTAACAAAACAAAATGCCTTAGTCAGCAAATATGTGACCTCTCTTTGCCAAGTAGATAAAAAGAAGGGGCAGCTAAGGGCGATACTAGTTTAACATATAAATTAATTTGCAAAAACTTACAGATGAGTTAGGAGCATTACTGCTTTATAAAATACTGAGAAGTGGTAGAGGGAAAAATAAGTCTACAGGAAGCTAAGCAAGAGACTCAATTAGGCCACATCTTTCCAAATTTACTTATGGACGAAACTGCAAGAAGGACAGCAAAAAGTTGAAATAAAAAAAAAATTCTCAAGTTTTCTTAAGACAAACTATTTTCTTTATCAATTATAATTGTACCTTAACATTACAGTTCCTGATGTCCTATGTTAGGAAGAAGAAAAAATAGTAAAGACAACAAAAATGGGAAAAGCAGGTAGGCTTGACTAGGAATAGACAAAGGAAGTCTATTGCTGGAGGTGACAATTTTCAAGGTGTCTGAAAGAAGAAAGAATACCAAATGGCTAGAAAAAAACAAAGTCATTATTCCTACCCATAAAAGATGATTGAGTAAATATTAATTACCCACCCACATGCCTACTTCTCCATTTCTATAAAATCTTTACAAGAATAGTCTACACACCTACTGAGGACATCCTTGGTGAAAGTACGAGAATACAGTAGGTCAGGCTTTTGCAAATGATATGCTATAGCATATCACATCTTAACAGTAGCATAACTGACTAAAAAGGCACCAAACATACAAGATTCCACTGTATTTACTGTCTGTGGATAATGAAAAACGGATGAGTCTGTGGAGCAAAATGCTGAGGTAAAAGTCCTCCTGCAATAATAAAATGTCTCCCAAACATATGTTAAAATAACACCAGATTTTTTGAGAGAGAATAACAAAGATAATTTTGCTACTCAACAGGTGAGGAAAAAGGGGAAGTGAAAGAATCTGGAAGTCAACATTTTTAAAAATGAACGTTAAATTTTTTTACATGTAGTTGAGAAAAATAAAATTTTTAAAAAAAGATAATTTTGTATCATCTATCAATGTATACACCTTAGGAAGATCCCAGAGATGGTTGATAAAAGGAGTCTAACATCATTATGGAGGAAAGCAGCATTGCAATTACAAAACTACAAAGTGCTTTTGATAACTCCAAGCTTCTTCCTGAAACAAAAGCCTACTTTTTTGGGTTTTTTGCCTTTAATATTATGTACAAACTCCGCTGTTTGACATTTAAGGCTTTTCACAGCGTGGCTCCAACCAGACTGATTTCCAGACAGATTGCCCATCACTTGCTCCCCCTCACAAATGCACTCTATGTTCCATTTAAACTGGCCTACTTGTTATTCCTCACACACCAATGTTCCATTCCTACTTCTGAACTATTCTACAGGCTATCCCCAGGCCTGGAATGTTTTTCTTCTTTACTGCTGTCTCTTCAAACCCCAGTGCCCTTGAAGGTTCAGCTGAAGGGCTACTTCCAACACAAAACCTCTCCTGATATCCCGTTATTAGTGCTCCCCAACCACAGATATTACTCTACATTGACTTCTCCGTGTACATATTGTTTTCTTCATAGAACAAGCTCCTTTAGAATACAATCTGTTTTGTTGGTATCCCCAGCATCTAGCACAGAGTGCCTGATACAAATTAGATACTGACTAAATGAACTGACAACACCAATATTTTTCCAGTGATAATATATAGTTATGAATGGAATACCAATCAAGACTTAAAGTCACAGGTCATCCATCCAAAGGGTGATAGAGATGGGTACAGTGGGTATGGATTGGCTGAAACATACCACCAAAAAATAACTGTACACAAGAAGCAGTGTTTAAAAGATACCAAAGAGATGGATGACCAGAAAAGAAACTGGGCTCTCGTGAATCAAGAATAGCTGACAAGTCTATGCACTCCACCGATGTGGAAATATTGCCAAGAAAGCTAATGGAAGGTCCCTAGCAAATCAAGAGGATCCACTGTGGAGGATTTATTGGAGGATATGTACAAGAGTAGCATAGGAGGCATGGACCTCTAGAGAGGGAACCAATGAACTGAGTGCAAAGTGAAGTCCCTTTTTCTGTGCTTTTTTTGGGGCGACATGGCTAAGATGGAAACATGTTTTCTGATGTCATTGATGATAATATCATATATATAACTGATATCATTTTGCTTGGCTCCTCTGTGGAGGAGGAGGGGTGGGAGAAAGAAAATCTGGAACTCAAAATTTAGAAAGAAAAGAACGCTAAAAATAAATAATAAATTGAAATTGAAAAAAAAATTAAATAAAGGCTTTAAGGTTCACAAAGTGCTTTATACAGAGTATCTCAAATGTCTTAGCGTAGTTAAAAGCTTATTACTGCATTATGTTTTTTGGGACACCGTATGCATAAGATGATTTGATCCTCCAATCTATTATTCTCATTTGACTGATAAGGAAATTGAAGCAGACAGAGGTTAAGTGACTTGCCTAGAATCATATAGTTAGTAAGTGTCGGAGGAAAGATTTGCACCCAGGTTCTCCTCACTCCAAGTACAGCCCTCTTATCTACTACTCCACCTGGATGCCTCTGACTTTTCCAGAGACACAGACAATATGTGCCAGAATTGGGACTTGAACTCAAAGTCCCTCTTACTAGATGGCTGGTTTGCACTACCCTTTACCAAATGGCTGGTTTTCCTGAATTGCTCCCCCAAAACCTTATCTTTTTTTTTTTAATCTTTGTTACAAAGGTTAGGTAGGGGAGGAAGAAGGGATATATTAGGAAATTTTTGTAATATAACAACAAAAGACATCAATAAAGTTAAGAAAAAGAATACTGTGTGGTTACATATGATAGAAAACCATGATCTGGGAAAAAAACCCAAAATTATAAGTACCCCAAAGGGCAATGGAAAGATGTATGGGGGTGTAAGTACAATGCAATATATTATCAATGATGACTTACACTATTTCTCATATGCAAAAGCCATCAAAGGCAGGTAGGTCAGTCATACAGTGAGCATGGCAGACAACAGATGGACAGCCTAACTGTTACACTAATAGATAACCTCCTGAGGTGAGTGGCCTGTCAAGAAGCCCAGATACTTAGAAATCATCTTATTCTATTCTAATGCACAAGTGAAGAAGGCAACTGTCTTTCTCAACCCTGAAGCTTGCAAAGGCAAAGCCAGAAATCTTTTGAAATGAACGCTACCCCAATTTTACACTTATCTGGCATGGATGTGACAATAGACAAGACAGATTATGAAGGACAAGCCAAGAAATTGCTAGAATTAATGGAAAGCTGAGATAACAAAAGAATCATGGGGTGAGCCACCAGCATGTTGGATGGGTTTTCTATGGAATACTGATTTAAAATCATAGACAGGAAATACACAGGAGAAGGCATGGAAGGAGAAGCAATATTATAACATAGTAGAAGTATCACTAGACTAGGAGTCAGAAAAGCTAGTTTCTGCTTTGCCACTCACTATGTGTGGCCTTAGGCAAGTCATTTCTCTCTGTTCCCTTTTCCTCATCTGCAAAACAAGGGGTTGGACTAAATGATCTCTAAGATCCCTTCTACTTCTAATATTCTATGGTTA